AAAAAAAAAAAAAAAACAGGATTAAATCCAGGAAAACTAATATCCAAACTTTTATTTGTAGAGATAAATGCTTTGAGAACAAAGCCCTTACTAGGAAAAAAAACCTGCATTACTAATACATGCCACTGCTTTTAACTACAGCTTGCATTAAAGGTGATAAATGGGGCTAGAAAAACACAACAGGGGAAACAACAGGTTGCACCCAGCAAAGACTGCAGGATATTAATACCCACAGTGGGTGGTTTCAAGGAACTGGGTTTCAAGGATCCAGGTGTGGATGCCCCATCCACGCAGGCATTCAAGACCAGGCTGGATGGGCTCTGAGCAGCCTGGTGAAGGGAACCAGCCCATGGCAGGGGGTTGGAACTAGGTGTTCTTGAAGGTCCCTTCCAACCTAAGTCATTCTCTGAAGGAACTGAGTGGCAAAGCAATGGCACGAACAGTCTGTGATGTGAGTGGGCAAAATCCCCGTGATTTCAAGTGAATTAAACCACTCGTGGGACAAAGTTTAGGATCGTTAATGAACAAGTTGTTTGTGCAAGTTTTCTTTCTCCTAATCAATAGCCCTCCCAGGCACTGCTTTTGTTAAAACCCGTCCTTTCCTGCTGTATCTGAAATAATCAGAAAAAGCAAATGCCACTCGAAATTCTACTGCATGGATTAAACCCCGGTGTGAGCAGTGAGAAGATGTTAGTCACTTTCAAAACTAATCGATAGAGAAAAACAAAGGAGCTCTGTGCCAAACCACCCGCAGCCACTGGGTTTGAACAGACAGAACTGCAAGCTCAGAGCTGGGAATTTGGCTGCCCTGATTTACATTTGCTGAATTACCTGCAAAGTGCAGACGTTGCACTTTGAACTACTTGCTTTCTCCATTAGTGGGTGTTTGATGGGGTTGATTCTAGGTTCTACTGTGCAGGGTACCCCTTGGGTCTCCTTGCTTTTCCTGCCCATTGCTTTGCATCTGCCAGTGACCACAGGTATTAGGTTTGACAGCCAGCTGAGAATGCAGAAGCTCCCCGCATGCAAATTAATGCATGCCACATAATGCATTAAGCTAAGGGATAATTGATTGTAATGGAGGGAGTGGGGGATAGAAGTAGAAAGGCGGCCCAAAGTACCAACTGTGAAGCTGGAGGTACTTTTTATCAGTATCTGCACAGTTTGGATCCACATCAGACCATGGCTCACGAAAGGAAAAGAGCGTAACATCACAATTACGTCCGTGTCAGGTGGATAAGTGAGACTTGGAGCAATTCAATATTCTACCTGATAAAATGCAAAGTGGCTGATCAGATTGCAGGAGGTAAAGGTGGGAAAGTCCAGTGGGTTGATGTCCAGCTCCTAGCAGTGCGTGGCTGTGCCCTGCCCGACACAGGGCGCTTATCAGACCCCAGAAAGCGAGGCTGCAGGTGGGCTTTGTCACATCACGGGAAGATGATTGCACTGACTGCAGTGCTTCTGCACAGAGCACCACTGCAAGAAAGCCATCAGCCATTTGCCAAAAGTAGAAACAGCCCAAATGGTGCTAGGTTTTGTTACCTTGTCAACCAACAGAAAACGCTATTTTGCTCCAGCGGATTTTCGCATCTTTGGGCATGAGGTGCTGTTTTTCTCTGTGCTGGGGATGCAGAATAACAAGTGACAAAAATAAACCACAAGCAGACAAATGGGCAAAAATCTGTTATTTCTGAGCATTTCCATACATTATTTCTTTTTCTTACGAGTCTGTCAGCCTGTGGCTCTGGCTGTGTGCCTTGCTGTGGGACACACAGTGTGAGTTTGAATACTGCAGGTGTCCGGCACTGAAAAACAGCGGATGGCTGAGACTCATCAGGCTGGTTTGGTGAGTTTGATATTGGCTTCATTTGATTGATATGTCCGTATAGAAATAGTGGGAAATAAGAAAAGCACAAACACATTTGATGTTCAGGTTGCTGCTTCTCTTGGAGCTTTTACCCAGCGACTTCCAGGGCAAAGAACTGTCCTCAGCTGCCTCCACATCGGCCATCAAGGGATGAAATCTGTGCATGGAAATGAGGTGAGGCCACTGAGCAAGAGAATAAACCAGAGTAAAGCAGTACTGAGAAGCAGTGCAGAATGAATTCTTTCCCCTTTAAATCTTTTGTCCAGTGTCAGCAAGTTCATTTTCCAGGATTTCTCGAGCCTCCACAGAAGACATATGTGGGAACTGAGATATTCCTCTCTATCCACTATGGAAACATTGTCAGGGGCATTAAGGACTGAAGATAACCAATATCACTCCACCTGCTCCCCTACTACTGCAATTATGTGTTAATCTATGATGGATGGCTGAGGAGTAGCCAATTGAGCTGGCTGTTATCCACATTAATAGGCTAATTGCAGATGAATCATCCTGATTGCTTTGCAAAGGAGGCTCTTGCAACACTGACAGTGCCTGAAGGATGAACAAAGGTCCCTGCCTAGTTTAAGGGAACTCACCAGAGCAAAGAGCTCTAAAATCATAACTTTTGCATTTAAATTACCAGGACTTACCTCTTCTACCTGGCCCATAACATCCAGAGACATCACAGCCCCCTGAGTATCCGGGCTGCCCAGGCTGTCCTCTGACACCAGGAAAACCTTGAGGACCGGTGTTCCCAGGGTAGCCCTTTGGGCCTGGTTTCCCCAGCACAACTTCTCCTGGTGGGCCTAAAGAAGAAGCTGTAAGCCACAGCACATCTGCAGCTTCAATATAACACTTCTATACTTTTCCCATCTAACATGGCAATTCATTTTCTGAGTATTGTTTCTTAATTTTGGGGAAAGAATTGGAATTCTTCTGAATCTTGGTAACTAGAGGTCTTCTATTTGGCCTTAAAGGTTCCTAGCTTCCCTAGCTGGTTACAAGAAAGCCCACCTATGTGTCAATATAGAAAATCACCTTAACTCTGGGATCCACCTCGGAGTCACTGTTTTTGTGACTTCAGTCAGTAGTAAACTCCCCCTTGACTTCAAGTTAAAAGGATCAGGATGGAGGAGCACACCAAATCCTAACGATTACTCAACAACTTTTGTGTTCCGTGAGCTGAATTTTTGAAGAGTTTCTATCTCCTGAGCATCTGGTCTTGCATGCAAAAATGCAGTAAAACTCTCTGGATGTACCTCAAGTCTTTAAAATTCATCATTACCTAAGAACGGGTACCAAAGAAGAGAGGAATGGTCTCATATCTGAGCAGAGAGGAACTATCCAGAGTGCTGTGGTGGGGAGGTCAGTCAGTCCCAGCACAGTGGTCCTAAAGCTGAAGAAGCTTTGAATCTGGCAGCCCCACACGGTCAATACAGAGAGACAGTATTTACCTGTTCTGCCTCTGGGTCCTTGGATCCCTTCCTCATTGACTCCAGCCATTCCTTTTTCTCCCTTGGGTCCTGGGGCACCTGATCACAGAACACAGACAAGTGGCTCTTCGCTGCAGCCTCCCCACCAGGCTCTTCCTAGGTGACGAGGTGAACATGTTTATAAGTACATCTGCCCGTACCTCTTTCTCCAGGATACCCATCTTTTCCTGTCTGACCAGGGATGCCATTTTCTCCTCTTTCTCCATTGCTCCCAGGAGGACCTGGAGGACCTGGTGATCCTGGCTCTCCTGGCTTCAGTCTTTCTTCCCAAACAGGCACCGGCTTCCTTGCATGTTCATGAATGAATGAATCAAATTTCAACACATGACCTGAGAAGGCAAGACAGAAAAGAAGCTTTGCAAGGTCACGAAAGTCTTTGTGCTAAAATCACCCAATGAAACCAATGGATAGGACAACGTGGTGGGACCATGCTTGGCATTGCACAGAGAGGGATCCCTGGCTCACTACAGCTTCATGCCATCCTCCCCTGTGCTTTTGTCCACCGCTGCTGGAGAAGCATCAAAAGAAGCTTGGGGTGATTATACTCACTCTGGATCATCCGCTCACAAGCCTGGCTAACCAGCTGGTAAATTGTGGCCAAGGACTGTGGTTCCCCCTAAAGTGAAGCATTACAATTCTTTTTTAGAAAAGGAAGTATTCACGTCTTTATTGATATCTTTTAGAAAGGATCAATATCACAACGCAGGACAGCTTTCTGCCCTTTCTTTGTGTCAGCTTGTGTTACTGAGACATTAATTGCTATGAAATGCATTTTCTTGATTTATTTATTACAAAGCTCCAAAGCCATAAAATTGTAATTGGGAAGCATCAATAATTGCTTTTCTCCCACACATCAAAAAGGCTAGACTGAATTGATATAATTGCTGAAGCTTCCAAAAAAAGGAGAGTAAATTTCCCTCTCAAATTTCATCAAAACAGATAGGCAGTGTATAACTTAATATTCTGTGATATGTAAAACATTTAACACGACCAGATATTACAATATCCTATCTTTGTCTCAATCTTTTATGAATATTGATTCTTATCCTTATTAAACTCTAAATAAATGATGTCTGAGGTTTTTCTTTAGAAAGTTTTAGTAACACAGGGACAAAAATGCAAAAAGCTGCTTAAAAAATGAAGGCTGAGTCCCTTCATGAAAATTCATAGCTAAGACCCTGGATGTTTCCAGAACCATTTCTAAGCTGTACGTCTCTGTGTGGACCACCATGCAGATTACCAAGCTTTAACAAAAGCTTGGCACAACATCCAAGGGAGGGAAAAAGGAAAGTTCCACTGAAAAAAAAAAAAAAAGTATAGAAAAGGAAAAACTGTTGGAAATGGAAGGAGGACAGTGTTAAAAATTATAATGCTGGGGTATTCACTTGAAACAAAAGAAGAAAAGCAGTCTGTGAGAAGCAGCTTGAGCCTGTCTGAAGCTTAATTCACTTAACTCAATCTTGGCAAGCAGATTTGGACTCCTAGAAAAACATAGGATTTCTTTTTGACGGTAAGTCAAGATGAACAAAACCTCCTCTGACAATAAAATAGCCTTCACAGACAGCGTTGCCCTCCTGACCTCAGAAGCTCTGTACCTGAGCGTGGCACAGGTTTGTTAGAAGTGAGCCCCAGCCTTGTGCCGCACATTTAAAACAAAACAAAGCAAATCCTCAGTGAAGCTGAATGGTTTTGGTTTTGACTTCTCAGCAAAGAATGGATTTTCAATTGGCTTTTCTCCTTTGCTACTACAACTGGTACTAAGCAGCTCATTATTCAGACCCATCAGAACAGCCAGTGCAGGTGAACGGAAAGCAACGAGCCCTCGGTACATTATGTTATTCTGTTCTGAAAATGTCTTCACATGTCAGCATAGCTTGCCAAGCAGATTACCACATCCAATCTTTCAAGTGCTTGATGTACAGTACCAGGAAAACTCACTTTCTCTCCTCTTTCTCCTTTTGGACCTGGTAGTCCCTGTGAGGAAAGCAAAAGGAAAAGTCATGGTCTAGGGAGAGGAGGAGAAAGCAGAAGGTCAGTGGGGATGCAGGTTACATCAGCGGGACGTGGAGCCCAAGGCTTGTTTCCCACACACTTGTACTTCCCTTGACCTTATGAAAATGGCTAAAAGTATCATGAGCTCATAGGAATATCTTCTGTTCGTGCTTAAGGTGCTGGAACACCATCAACAAGGATGCAGATATTCCACAGATACAAGCTCAGGATTTGCACATCCATATGAAGGGTTGAGCATGAATTTAAACTCTTCTTCAGATGCTGAGAAAGAATTTCCATGGGAGCAGCTTGCTTACATGCAATGATTTCATGCCTTGGCCTTCTCTGAGAGCCATGCTCAGTCACTTACTGTTGGCCCAACGTCACCTGGAGGTCCCTTCTCTCCACTGCTGCCCCGGGAGCCTGTCACTCCTTGGAAACCCTGCAGACATCAATTACAAGACACAGATGAAAGTCTGGATACTTCCCACTGTTGTTCTTTTTCTGTTTGACATCTCCTTGCAGCTCCAGGGGCACCAGCAGTTTGAGCTTGGAGGACTCCAGCAAGAGCACTGCAGCCTTAAGGCTTATGTCAGAACCCCATCCAGCCATGAGCACAATGTTAAAAGTGCATCACGTATGAGTCATCTTCACATCATTTCCTATTACTGTCTCAGCTACTGTCAAGCCAGCAAAGCTGAGTTTTGCCAACAAACTGCAGTGTGATTTTTAGATGTGGCTTTAGATCCTTCCTTACACGTTCAGATTTAGGCACAGCCGAGAGCACAACCCTTTTCTTCAGCCTGCTAGTACCATGCCACTGCTCTTCTGTTTTCCCTTAAAGACCTGTGTTTCGCTGCTAAGTTTTTACAGTAGCAGCTGTAAATTAGGGAGTAGAAAGTGCCTTCTTTGTTTATCTCTTCTTTGAGAAGTTTCTGTGCCCTTTTGGAGCCAAGGGAAGAAAAAAGTAAGGCAAAAAACCACTAGAAATACTTTCTTTTAAGCTCAATGGAGATTAACAAGCCTTTTGATCAGTGGAAAACGAAAGAAAGAAGACTTTAAGGCAGCACCAGGCCATCTTTCAGAGCCTGGTCCAACGACTGCAGTGCTTTCCTCGTGTTTAAAAAGCTGAGGTTCACTGCTGGCTCCATGTCTTGCCAGGATAAGCAAGACCAAGTCAGGAGCTGAATGTGGCCCTCACCATAGATACCTCACCACAGCTGCTATGGGACTTAACACAAATGCAGCAGTAAACAGTTTCCATTTTACACTAATTTAGGATTGCATATAACTCAGCAATGAGAACCAGCAACTATCAGGTCTTCTTCCATCATCTAAAGCCAAATTCCATGGTTACACAGAACTGGTAAGGCTACGCCTTTAAAGTGGCTGGATGTAAACCATCTGCCATGGTTTTATGTTTTTTGGTTTACCATGACATCAACACATCGTAAAGTTCTGTTTGTGATGTCCTGGGCACGAGAGAGTGCAAATGCACCCAGCTTATGGCCCTGGTAGCACATACAGGAACCAGTGTGTGGGGAGATCTTTCATATCTGCCTGCATCCTCTGGCTCCAAGTGACTTCATTCTGATGAGCCCATACACCCCAAACCCACCCAATATTTGAAAAATTCTAGCTGTAGAAAAGCAAGGGTAGTAAAACACTACCTGGGTCAAAGCAGAAGTTGCCTCCAATAGGTAAGCTGAAGGCTTTTCTGTTTATTTCATAAGAAACCGAGAGAAAGTGACAGAGAAAGTGGATTTCTGCAATGCGTGTGAGGATATTCCCTTGTGAAAACCCAAGAAGAGGGTTTGCCCAGATACCTCTGGACGATAGCAGGCCAGCAGTAACCCCAATCTCCTCCTGAGGAAGGGATTTCAAACAGATCCACACTGTTCCTGTACTCACCCTTGGTCCAGGAGGTCCTGGGGGCCCAGCTGTGCCTTCCAGTCCCCTCACCCCCTGCAAAACCAAATCCAGTCCAGTATTAACAAAGGGACTCAAAGAGACACAGTAAGCAGTGAGGTGGTTTCTCCCTGTGCTGTTTTTAATGGGAGCTTGCCAGAAATGGGTAAAAATATATCTGCCAAACAGGCGAGAAGGTTGGCACCTGGTCAGCCATGCAGATTTGGCCAAACATGAGACGATCCAATAGTTGCTTTTTTTTCTTCCATTTCTTCCAGATTTGTGAAAATATCTTTCACTTTTGCACTGAGTGCATTAGGAGAGCTGGATGTTTGGATCCAATTTGGATTTTAGGCAGCACTGTGTGAAAACTGGGGGGTGACTGATGCATTTTACCTTTGCACCTTGAAGACCATCTCTGCCTGGAGCTCCCTGCACACCAGGAATGCCCTGCAAATCAGAATTGCTGATAAAGTTGGCATCTGCTTATCATTGTCCTACTTCATCTTGTAGCAAGGGAAATGAGAAGGCAAGTGGGACAAAACTATGGCTTTTCAGTCTTGCTTTAATTAATTACTGGGAGAAATGGACAAATCTTTGATACAGTTAAAAGGAAGGTGTCTACCCTTACCTGCATGCCAGGACTTCCAGTGTCTCCTTTCTCTCCTTTAATACCTGGTGGCCCCTTAGATTGAAACAGAAGCACACAGTCAAACACTGCAGCATCTTTTAAAGGAAAGAGAGTCCTGCTTCTGCACACCCACACCCCGCACTGCTGCTGCCCTCTGTGATGCTATGCAGGGAGCTTTGCAGCAACATCACGTTCGTGGGGATTCTGTCATCCCAGACACACATGCAGCAGCCTCCACCTCCTTGCCAAGTAATGATGATCACTGTAAAGAGACATGCCTGAAGACTGCACTTGGGCTTGTTTTCATTAGAAGCACACAAGGGACTGTCTGGACAAAAGCAGTCCTTTGCCAGAATGACTGAATGTAAGCACTCATCACCATGAAAAAAATATTATCATCTCTCTAGTGCAGCTGGCTAGCTGTTAATGAGGATGATGTCAATACACAGACCAGGTTTAGGGGTTTTGTTGAGACACTGATTTGTGAGATGTGTTCCAATTGCAAAGAGCATGAGACGTAGAAAGGCAATGAAAGAGATGACATACCACAGGGCCCTGAATTGTGATTCCTTGGGAACCTGGGGAGCCTTGCTGGCCACTCGGACCTGCTGGTCCCACTTTTCCAGGTGGGCCTGGTTCACCCTAAAACAAAAGATATGAAATCAAAGAAAGAAAGCAATTAGAGCCTGCCCTCCACGAGGGCTGTACTGCATGGCCCGGGTCAGCATGAGCTGTATATGGGATGCAAGATGAAGTCAAGACAGTAGAGGATCTCCAGCAACCTCAGCAGCCTTTTAGGTGTAAGGTTTAGATGCATCTTCAATAGGAGAAAATGACAAGGCAGCACCAAGCACAGCACAAAGACCAACCGTTTTCCATCAAGGCTGCTTCCAAGAACATTGCTGACCACAACATTTGCATTAATTCAGCTTCATCAAGCCCATCGCCTTAATTTCCAGAGCCCTATTGAGCATTTAATTAATAACGTGATCCCATCCTCCTCAATGCATCACCTCCCAAGGAGCACCAGGACTCACCTTGGGGCCTGGCTCCCCCTGCTCGCCTTGTGGTCCTCTCCTCCCAGGGCTGCCCTGCCAGCAAGACACAGAACTGCTGTTATTAACATCATAATCCTTACAGCAGTGCAAACAGCCACCAAAAGGACACTGGTGCATTTAGCTATACACACGATGGAAGATGCCACTCCAGAAAACGAGCAGGAAATAGGGGCAAGGAGAAAATAAATTGCCCCTAAATGAAACCACATCACCTCCAGCAAGGAGAGATGAAGTTCAACATCTCCAACTTCCCAGCAAATCCATGCTGGGGCAGCCAGTGGGGAAGGGATCACATATGAACATAGAGAAGAACTAAGAAGGAGCTCCTGCCTGCTGTCCTTTGGGACAAATCTGGTGTTTGCAAAACCCAAGAGAAGGGATGAGCTCTGAGATCAGGGCCAGCAAGCAGTGCTGAGGAGGTCCAGCTCAGCTCTGCACCTGCAGAACTGCTGGATCAGAGAGAGAAATGATCTTCTGGCACAAACCAATGCCGTGTGAAGTTGTGAACTTAAAATACCACGTGAACTTAACCTGAAAGTTTCTATTCTTGATGGTAAAACAAACAAACAAACAATGGATTTGGATTAAGAATTACAGGGAGCTTTAGAAAAGGTTCTTCCAGAAGCACCCAGAAGCTCATTTCATTTGAATCTGGTCAAAAACACCCATTAAGGACAGTGACCTTGCCAGCCTTCAGTAAAAGGACTTTAACAAGCAGCAGTGAGTGCTATTGTAAGGGCAGCAAATTAGCAAGGGTTTGATGGCGTGAGGATACGGTTGTGTCAGAGCTGTATTTTCTCTAATGCTTGAAAGAATCCTGCTTTTTAAATAGTAGTACTGGAGAGATGTTTAAACCACAGGGCAATGCAAGCTGCTAATTATGCACTTAGGATATTGAAGCACACTGCGATAGCGGAGTGCACTGTGTAATTAAACTTCCACCGGAATGAGCACGTAATTACTCTGCAATGAGGAGCTTGCAAATCGTGGCACTGAAGTCACAGTGAAACCACAGCAATGTGAGCAGTTAGCTGAAGCCTCCTCACTTGAGCAAGGAGACCCGAATGTTCCACAGTTCAGTATCTACAGTGGGGCTGTAAGAAAGGAGCAGACAGGCTCTTGAGCAGGGTGTGTGTGACAGGACAAGGAGAAATGGTTCCAAAATAGAAGGAATTTAATTTGGATATAAGGAAAAAAGGTTTTTACAATGAGGGCAGTGAGATACTGGCACAGGTTGCCCACATAGGTGGTGGATGCTCCAGTGATGGAGGCACCCAAGGTCAGGCTAGAGGAGCTCTGAGCACTGATGGAGCTGTGATGTCCCTGCTCACTGCAGGGGGGTTGGACCAGATGGGCTTTAAGGGTCCCTTCCAACACAAACCATTCTGTGATTCTATGATTTCCAGGAGTAAAGCACCAGGAGTGGCCAAATTGGACAGGATGTCAGATTTGGCTGTTGGGTGCACATAACACTTTCTTCTCAACATTTCTAAAACGTGAGTTTTTTCTTGATAACCACTTCACAGTATCTATCTGGAACACTGCCTGGAGCATACCACACTCTTACTGGCTGTTACCACTTCCCCAAATCTCCCCTTTCTCTATACATCACCCACTTGTGCAGACACTTATTGGCCCTCCTGTTTAATAGAGAATCCAGATTTTGTATTATGTTTTGAGGGTTTTTTTTTTTCTGTTATTTACAAAGAGTTTTGGAGCCACTGATCCATGGAATCTCTGCACACACACCGAGGTGGCCTGTCCTCCCCTCCTAAGAGGATTAATGCAGCACTCAGACACGCTCAGCCTGCTCCCAGCTGCAGCTGTTGCACTCCCAAAATGTCACAACATGCATAGAGAAACAAAGCTCTGGGGTCTGTGCTGGGCAAGGAGGAACTGCTTTAGCCTGGGATGCAGGCAGGAGATAGGTCACAGAGCCCCACGGAGCTGAGGTGTGCAAACAGCATGAAATAAGACATGCAATATGCAAAAAGGGTGAACTTACAGGGGGGCCTGGAGGACCTGGCAAGCCTGGGCGGCCAGAAGTGCAGGAGCAGGCAGGAGCTATGCTGGGGCAGCTCTCCTCATCCCTCTGAAAAGACAGCAAGACATGTGAGCAGCAAGAGTGGGATGGGTGACAGGTAGTGATGGCAGGGCTTCAGAATTCAGTTTTGGGGAAAAAAAAAAACACAGATTGTGCCCTGAGGCTGGGAGGTGGCAGTGGAGCCATGGGGCTGCCAGGGTAAGCTCAGGGCAGGGGGGATATGTGCTGTGTTGAGAGTTTGCCTTTTGAAGCAGACACGGTGGGACAAGACATGCTCTTTGGTTCCCTTTACCAGGATACACCCAGTTGACATTCCCAAAAAATGAGAAAAAGAGTGGTTTCCTTCTTGTCTATGAAAAAGAAGAGCGGTGCCGCTCCTGTGCCATCATGCACAGCTTCATCCCACCCAGAAGAGAACCTCACACCATCTTACCAGTGCAGGAAGATCACAACATCGGTCCTCCTCTGCGCCTAAGCTGTTGCACACAACCTGCAATGACTGCAGCTGGAACTGTGGGGAGGTGAAGAGGGTTTGATGAGAAGGTGGCACTGGTACACAGGCTGCACCACTAAAGTTCACCACGTGCTAAAAATAATGTTTAGTGGTGGTTTGACAGACTCCATGCGTGGTCCCAACTGTAATTGCACCAAAAAGCCATGACACACGTAGCAACCACAGCTCTGTGTCCTGCTAAGGCACCCTGCACCCTGCAAAAGCTGCCTCTCTGATTTTTCACACCATCCCACAGCAGTAGGCAGGTCCTCAGGTAATTGGGTTTCAGCACTACCAAAATGTGAAAACAAACTTTGCTGTCTGCATTTCCCCCTTCAGAGGAATGTACCTAAGAGGAAAAGTGGCAGCAGCTCCCAGGAGAGCTGTGTTCCATCTCAGGAACCCTTCCTGCCTACACCACATCCCTCCCAGCCGCCACCTCTGTGATGAACGCAGGAGCACACACTGCTCAAAGCAAACCAAAAACAGAAGGTGAGGCAGAGAGGATTTCTTTTTTTTTTTTGCTTTCCTTAGCAACATTTCTCCTTTGTTTTTAATTCTGCTCCGTGCATTCAAGCTGCACAGCTGAGGAGCGCATCACAGATTCAGGTGAGCCCCCTTGATCAAGCAGCATTTAAGATTTCTCAAATTAAATGAGATTCCATGATAAGCAATAATGAGACGTTCCATCTTCTGAAGGGCAGCAGAAGCTGTGGATGACATGAACCTTATGCTGGGCTTGAAAAGCAATAGGAGCAGAGGCAGCACAAAGCTGCTCATTAGGCAGCTGCATCTGTCTGGCTGAGCTGTGAGCAAGGAGAGTTTGGGAGGGAGAGGGAGAGCTCAGGCTCTTTTCTGACAGGCTTGTGATCCATCTAAACTGCCACAGCACTTATTTAGAAAATACAGCTTGAATCCCATTGTGCCCTGGTTTGTCACATGTCACCACTGCTCACAGGTGATTCCAATGCCCACGTTTCCCTGATGCACCCCAGAGCTTTGCATTGCTCTTTGCAGGACCAGGCAGTTGGGGATAGGACAAACCGTTCTTACTGCACTTCTTTGAGGCAAGGGAAGCTGCAAATCAGTGGTTGGGCTGTTTCCCCCTAGATCTTCAGACCTAAAATCAGAACCCAGGAGTAAAAGCTTCACAGTCATGAATGATTTGCTACAGTCTCACTGAGCAATTCCTCCTCATTCTGCATGTATTTAACACTCCTGATTTGTGGAGGAAACACAGCAGGCTCCTGGGCAATGCCATGCAGGGGTGGTTTTGCCATTTGGGTGATGCATGGGGCTGTTGCAGGGCACAGTGCAGAGCCCACACTTCCCTTGCCCTGTCCTCTCACAGGATGCAGTGCAGTGCAGCAGGGACATACCTGCAGGCTGGCAGTGAGCGTTGGGCTGCTTTAATTTACACAGCAGCTGACAAGGAGCCTCTGTACTGAAGAGTATTTGGCCACCATTTGCCAAGCCCAAGCACACAGGAGATTGAGGCACCTCCAGACCCAGCATTTCCCAGTGCCACTCACTGGGGGCTGATGGCACACCCTTCTCTTCCAAAGCAGTTCCCTATACCTGCTGCCTGTTAGGGCCAAATCTGTGCTTCCAGCATTCAGTACTGGGCCCTGAGCCCAGATCTCAAACACAGGTAGGAGGCGAGGAGGAGAATCCCCACACCAGGAAAGCTCATTAACCCGCAGAGATCAGTGGGATCAGCACGCAGCCCTGCGTCACAGCTGCTGTTGGAGGCTGTCAGAGTGAGGACAGTGAGGATGGCACAACCCTCCATCTGCCCAACTAGCTTCACATTTAACCCCCCAGTTTCCAAAGCAGGCACGTCTGGGCACTCACCGACACTGATCCACTCCTGGGCCCTCTGGTTCGTGTCACCTTTCCCAGCATGATGAAGCCAGCGGTAGAGATGCTGCCAATGGTGTTGATGGGTCTCTCTGCTATTTTCTTACAGTCCAGATAGAGCTTGATCTTGAAAAGGCTCACTGCAAGGTGTACCTGGGTGGGAAGAACAAGGTTGGATCTCTGCAATGGGCAGGGAGCTTTTAAACACCTTCTGCCCAGTTCCCAGATTGGTGCTGGTATCCACGTTGTGGATTTTGTGAGCAAATAATGCACAGTGAGCAGCACTATGCTCTTCCTTGGTGGTTCCCTTCTATAGCTCAGCTGTCCTTGGGCAAAACCTTTCTGGAGTCCCAGTTCTGAATTCAGTTCTCAGAACCAGCTGAACAATGTAAATACTGTTAGAAAGAGCTCATTGCTCATCTGGGAGGAATACCTTTGCTCTGAGGATACAGACAGCTAAAAAAACCCAAAAAAGTTATAAGAGATCAGATGGATTTCTCATGAGACTTTATCTTTTCCTTCCCTCCAGCATTAAAATGTCACCAAAATCCCAAATTATAAAAAATATTTCATGTTTCAAAATCTTTCTTTTCTTCAAGACCTGAAAATAAGAGCTCCTACAGGGAAAGGGAAGGAAACTGCCAGATCTCTCCTACAACTCTCTCCATCTCAGTCCATTCCTGTTAACAACTCCCTAACGGTCTCCATCTTGCTTTGTGGGAAGCCAATCCAAATTACACTGTAATAAAAAACAACCCTTTTTCTTTTTTTTTTTCCCAGAAAGAAAAAAAGAAGAGACCCCAAGGGTTGAGGGGTTTGAAGGCTTTCCTCTTACCACTTTCTAGTGCAGTTCTCCAGACTCAGCATTACTATACTATGACCGAAGCAATAATGATAATGGTAACGATGTCAGGGGGGAAAGAATATTTTCCTCTCGCAAATTTAACACAAAACAATTACACTCCACAGATTTCATTCAGTTTTGAAGGATTTGGGTGACTTGAAGTAAGTTCCCAGATGGTGGTTCTGCAGACTATAACTGTGTGTCATGGAGACTATGGAAGAAAGAAGGGCAAGTCCCATAAATAAACAGGCTGGGGATGGAAATAATAAAGGGGAAGGATTTGGAGGAGTGTGTAATTCATGAAATGCTCCCATCCAGTTATTACACAATTTGTGCAGGGAGGCTGTATCTTTAGTAAAGCAAGTATCCAAACATGTGATACAACTACTGAAATGGCAAACACACACCTTGTAAAAGGAAGCGACTGAGTATACATTGTGTGTATTTTGTTTTGATGCCATTTCATGTTGCTACCACATATTATATGTAAAAATAATGGCCACCATGTGTGACTATAATTTACCCATCCTCATTAGTACTTTAAAAATGCATAAACATGCAGTGCATTCTAAGAAGCAACCAATATGTGGGAAACGTGTCTTACACATGGGATGAACCTATATAATTGTAAAGTCTACAATTAAAATGTTCAGCATATGAAAAAGGTTCACTGGCTCCCCAGCAATCTGGATGCAAAGCACTTACAATCACTCCTCACTTTGAACAATACACATTGATGGCATAATAGTCTCAGAGTGGATGAAATCGTGAGCTACATTTCTCCCTTTATTCATAAAGACCTTATGAAAGCTCCCATAGAATATCTTCTTCACTTCCTGCTGGTCAAAGGAGACTTCCTGCAAATCAGCCTTGTAGTCATGATTGAAATAGGTCAAGGTTTTCTTACTGGCTACAGGGAAAATAGGACAAATAACAGCTTTTAGAATTCAAAGAGAGTTGGATTTCACCACATACTAAGCAACAGAAAATAAATAAGCTTAAGCATTGTGAAAAAATCTCATGTATCGCAATCAAATATTTCTAAACAACGGAAAACAAAAATAACAGCTAAAAATAAAGAGTATGCTGCAAGTAGAATACCATTGAAAATACAGCTTTTAATTGCACTAGGAAGCCTTCAAAATGTGATGTCGGCCAAAAACTGCAGCTGCACAACAAAGCCCACAAACCCACCACACTTCCCAAGTGAATCCCAAAATGAGGTCTGCTGCCTGCAGAAATGTTAGCAGATAGCTGAACGTAACACACTCAGCATGAAACCTTACGGTCAAGGTTAACACCAAGGAGGGGCTGGAAGTCCTCGTCGGTTATTTGCCACACAGCAAAGGGCTCCTTGGGGGTGTCGGGCAGGAGGCGCAGGAGGATGCTGATGGTGTGCTCAGGTGGGATGGTGAAGAGGTGGACATCACTGGAATGAGACAAGCCAAGGAAGCATTGGTGGCTTAAAGCAGCAAATGCCAGCAGATAACATTCAAGAGAAGGGGCTCTCTTGTGTTTCTTGGGAACAAGAGCCTAGAAAAGCTTCACCTGTGGGGTTTGAATGTGATACGTCATGAGAGAGCCCGGCCTTATGTTGGGCATCCCTCTCAGGCTGTTAGTGCCTGAGCTGAGTGCTGTGTCCTGGTGGAGGAAGTGTCAGCCCATCACTGCCAGATCTGCCCCAGGGAGCACCACAGGCAGCCCTCGTGCTCTTCACAACAGATTATTACTAAAATTATTACTAAATATATTACTAAATATCAGGCATCCTGCCAGGGTCCAAAACTCTTCCCAAGCAACCTCTTTCAAAGGCAGGGGAATGGTGGTCATATACCCTGGGGTAAATCTTGGCTGAAATCAATAGAATTGCCCTTCAGGGATAAGCATGGAGCTTCCAAAAAGCCCCCACAGCCCAGCTGCAAAATTTGAGTTCAGCTCTAGAACTCGTGGGCATGCAGCAAAGCCCATCAGCAGCTCCTGGCACAGCACAGCTTCCTCTGCAGCCACTGCCAAAGCCCTCAGAGAGTGCTGGGAGCACAGTGGGAGGATGCGGTAAGGCAACAAGGAAAGTCAAATTGGTTATGCCTGGAATACATCTGTAATGTGAAATGAGACATTTGCATGGGCATGTACACAGTTCATCAAGCATCATTTCAGGACTGATTCATAAGTAATATCGGCTTCTTATTTCTCCTTCTGCTTGTGGTGGAGTGACGTCCTTGGATAGGAATATGTGCCAGCTGAACAAAAGGACTTGCCCACAATTTTTGGAGTATTTGACCAAACAACTCTCTGAATCTCTCCCACTCTCTGTACTCTAAGAAGCTTTACTACTTTAACTAAGATTAAACCCAGCCAGAGCCTCAGCAATTAGGCTTTAAACAAAGTAGCTCTGAATGTCAAGAGTCAGATCGTTCCTGATTTATTATGATAAAAAATGAGTGAGGTCCTGGGAGCAGCCTGGCTGTCCAGGACCCACAGAGAAAACAGGGTCAGGGCACAGCCCTCAGTGGTGATTCCTTCTCAACAAGAAAAGCCCAAACTGCTGAGAGCAGCTAGGAGACCAATATTTACTAAAGCAAAGCGCTGTCTCCAAACTACTGATGCTGGGAGGAGGGATTGAAGATGAAGACATGACCTCAAACTGCCATGACCAAAGTGTATGCGGCTGTGGACAGAATGCCTAAAGAATCATGCAGTGTCTGTACATGATACAATTCTTACATCCATCACAGCAACCAACACTGCTGCAAAAAGGAATTCTGCAAAATGGAAAATCCTCGCCACATGAAAATATTTGGCAGCACACAAATGAATAATGAATGCCTCCATTCTGTCCTTTTGACTTCTGAGATGTATTCTATACACATCTTAAAACCAACCCAAGCCTAATTTCTGAATATATTAAGGAAAACTGGCATTCATCTCAGTCTACCTGCAATTCAGTTTAGCTGAATCTTTATAATTTCATTTTGAAGTTGCCAGAGGGGATTTGTCATTCACACAAATCAATGAGCAGTGTGAGCACAGGGACCCACGATGAGCACAATGCTGGTCCCAGCTCCACTCCCACCTGGTCCTCAGGGTGAGCTGAATGTCTCTGAACAGGGTGAAGGTGCGGGAGCCACTAAATACGAATGGCTCCATAGCCACTCCTTTAATGGAGGCATATTCCTTCTCTACTAAGCCAAATGCTTCCATCATATCGAATCCTGGAACAAAGAAAAGCAGAGAAATAAGTGGTTAGGAAAGACTGCCCCCCAAAAAGTGGGATGGCAGAGCAGGTAGGATGAGCTGCTAGCTAGATGGAGACCTCAACAGGAGAAAAAAACATAGGAACACAGGTATCAGCAAGGCTGTACAGACTCTCTACAAAACTGGATTATACTCCACAAGTGGCAACCAAGGGCAATAGTTTGCATCTGTATCATCCACTGCTGCAATCGCCTCTTGGAGAGAGATATAGTAAAGGTGAAGACTTCCAGAATTTTGTTTTCAAATCTCCAGAATGAAAAACAAGTGAGAAATTCTGTGATTCCATAATTACTAAAAAAAAACAAAACAAAAAAAAAAAAAAAAAAAAAAAAAAAAAAACCCAAAAACCAAAAAAACCCACCAACCCAAAACCACGTTCATTTCAAATAGATGCAAAAATATTATCTTTAAAAGACATGGAATCTGTCCAGTGATTGCTGGCAGGAGGGATTGTTTCTGCTCTAAAATGCCTTATGTGTAAGAGTCAGAAATACTGGGACTTTAAAATGCAAGCATTCCATTTCTCTCTATTTCCATGAGACACTCAGAGGTTGATTTGCCTTATGTGATCTACAGAGAGAGGCTCTTCCCTGACATCTCTGACATCGCCTGTCCAGCTCATGCAGCTTCATCTCACTTTCATGGCTCATCATTAAAGTTCTGAGTCATTTTCTCGTTTCAGTTTTCTATTTGGTAAGACAAGATCTTGAAATTGGATTCTTTTTTTTTCCACTTTATCTCAGTTTGCAGCAGCCCGGGTTGAAGGAGATAGCTCATGCTTCAGTAAATGAAGGGATACAACTTCACTACAATGTAGTCCTTTCAGATTGGATTCCCTCACCCCTTCACCATTTACTGTAATCTGCAGTTGTTTGGCTTGAGTGGTTATTTTGCATAGAGGTTTGTCCAGAGAGCACTTTATTTCATTGCCCAACATAGTAGGGAGTTTTCCAAAAGAAATGACCCACTTGTGGCTCCTGGCACTGGGATTCCATTAAAACATGCATGAAACACAATGGCGTAAAGACTGGCAACAAAGCTCAATTCCCAATTATAACCATATTGTAACCTAACAATATTATTCTCTTCAGTAACCTGTGTGTCAGACACAACCCACTGCAGCTCAGTCTCCCAGTGCACCTTTTCCTGTTTACCCCATTTGGTCCCATCCCACTGCATGCATTTTTCTTTGTATGTTCACTGGAGCAAGGAAGCAAGTAGGCTGTCCCACGCCTCAAGTAAGTGCCCTAAGCAACACATTCATCCTCTGCCTTGCACCTGGTGAACAATTATTCACACAAAGGCAGATTGCTCAAGCAGCACAGATAGGCTAACGCAATAACAGCCCAAACTCTGATGAGAAGAGCAACTGCTCTGGGTGCAGGCAAGGACAAGGGTCAAGGCCCTGGCTGAGCAGCCCTTGAACCCATGTTGTCCATACTGTATGAATACACTCCAGCCAGTCCAAATTGGGGCCATAGCTCTCTCTCTTTTCTTCTCCCTCAGCTTGAAAAGTGGTCTTCAGTGTCAGTGTTTGAAGGGTCTCAGGCCTTACCTGATAAAGAGTGTTTCCCTATTTCATTCTCAGACTTTTCCCCTTTCCCTCAGGGCAGGGAAAGAATTCCACCTTGCTCAGCTGTTGCATATTTCTTGAAAAAAACCAAGATGAGACACTGTTTGCACATTCCCAGTATGTATGATATACTGTACCTCGTACGGAGCCTGCAGAAGAGCTGATGGGGGGACAGGCTGTGGGAATGGAGCAGAAGGGGAAAAAATGAGGGAAGAAAGGGAGTAGGGGATTAGTAAAGCAAAATTGATGCAGTTCCTATGGCTGAGCAATGGAAAACGCAGCAAAACGTGGTGAATATTGTAATATTATACAGCTTAAGTCAGAGTCTGGTCTGAGCCTTGTTTAGATAAATGGAGAGAGGAAGAGAATTTATGTTTATGCTAACATAAAAGTTCTTCCTTGTCTTATTCATCACAAAAAATTAAAATACCATCTTTCATCATCAAACATCCTCATGATCACTTTCTTTTCACTGAATCATCTGTCACCTTGTGATATGAAATACAAGGGAACATCATTTTCTGCAAGCTTCTCTTTGGAAACAGACATCAAAACACTATTTTTTTTAAATGGTGCTTTTACTGAAACATGCACCTTAGTAGGCTGAGAAATAAATAAGCATATATTCATTCTAAATATTGCACTTAAAACTCAAAAGACAACAAAAAGTCAAGCATCAACGTGATTATTTTTTTTAAATAGCCAGAAAGGGAGGAAAGATGCAGTGCTGCACATGAGCAGTGATGTGGCTTTTGTATGGCATATGACCAGGCTTTGACTTACTGCAACATTCCAGTTACATTTTTCCATACAGAATGCCAAGTTTTTTGCTCTTCTTCGCACTTGAGAAACACAGATTGTGTTTTGGCAACGTTTTGATGGTCCTTTGTCAGAAACTCACTTGATGAATCCTTTAATATGCCACAAGGCAGAAAGCAGCATCAGGGGGTGCTGGGGAGAACGGGCTGTAATGAGAGGCACCACAGTTATGAGCACCTCCATTTAAATGGCTCAAGTAAGGGGGTGCTTTAGAAAACAGCACACGAATGCTACTTTCAATTATGTACTGCCATTTAAATCCCAGGCCATGGCTGCCAGATGGGACAAAGGGGATGCTTGATGCAAAATGAGACATGTCCCTGAAAATCAAGGACACTTGACAAGATGGGCTATTTCATAAGTGATTTTCTAGGTCACCAGTAAAATAGAATCCAATAGATCTTTACTGAGGCTTCATTATAACTTTTATATTTCTGTTCTTACATCAGTGTCAGTTCCTCATGAGAAATGCAGGGCTTACAACTGTCTGACTTTTCTAACAACAGAGAGGTGTCATCCTCTGCATGGCAGCTGAGCTTCCTAAGTCATTCAACACGATTATTCATCGTCAAGATATATGCAAAAAGAAAGGGCACCCAAAGCAATGATGGTCATACCACTGCTGAAGCCTATGTCTACAAGCCATACCTCTGCTCCTTGCCTTCCCCTTACACAAACAGAACAGATTTCCAAATGCAAAGCATTGCTTAGAACTGAAGTATGATGAAGAAAGCATAATTCCCTCCAACATCACACTGACAGGCTGCAGTCCTGCCTGTTTGCCAGGTATCCAGCTTCCTTGCTGGAGGGTGAGGATGGCCCCTTCAAACCTCCCTCCCAGCACTCTCATTGTTTACAGCTCTTTGATCTGGCAATGCTCAGCTTACACAGAGCACCCCAGAGTCAGGGTGAAGGATCCCTATCAGTGACAGTCTGCTTTTTGCTTTGAAGATTTTTCCTAGACCTTCCAGTGTAGGATTCCTGCTGTCTTGTTGTTCTCTTTGCTTTGTGTTTCTCTCCCCAGGTCCCAGATGAATGCAGTTAATGTACAACATCCCCTCCCACAACAGCTCAGATCACTTCTCTCAGCAATGTGACTGCTTATCAAAATCAGATTCTTTTACTGCAACAGTTCTCACAATATTATTACACATCATCTCCACTCCTTCAAATAATTCATTTTATGAAACACACAGAATTTAATATTTCTCCTGTTGTCTTTTCAGCTATCATAGCCATAAATGCTACATTTTCCATCAGCCTTATGGGACGATTGTTTTCCAGCTGAAAGTTCACAAGACTGTTCCTCTGTGATCTGACATCTGCACATTTCCTCAATAAGCCATAGAAAATTGAGTCTGATATTTTCTTTGCTGGGTACAGTCTAAAACATACTCATCTAATCTGCTTTGTTCTCCCTCCTTGGCTTCTCTCAACAGACTTTAAAGCTGAGGTTTTGTTTGGAATCATTTCACATAGACAGGAAAAGGCATTAATGACACAATACATGTATTCTAATATTTGCTTCTTAGCAGCTTTTTATAACCCTGCTAATTCAACATTTCTCCTTAATCCACTTCATATTTTGCTTTGTATCAGCTAGGAGAACATATGCTCATTAAATTTAATAAGGGACTTTACAAGGAACTTTAATTTAAAACATGTCATCATTCTCTTTGCTCCATTTTGGTCAAGTTGTGCAGAAACCCTTTAAATATCCTACCAGACTCTCTACTGAGTGAGTCTGCTTTTAAGGCTATGTGGTTCCAGGCTCTCTTTGGACAGATTCTCAGCACCCAGAGGCATCTGTCATACCCACTGCTGCCTGTCCTGAGGGATCCACACTGTGCTATTTGTTACTGGGAAAAAAAAAATGCCAGACGTTATGGGAGATGATTTACCTTCTGTCTTAGATGGAACAAATCCTCGTATTGAAGGCAGTTTAGACATCACAGGAGCTGCAAGAGAAAGCAGTGTGTGTGTGAGCTCTGCTTCTCAGAACAGTGACACTTGGTTCGGATCCGTATGGTCACCAACCCTTCTGGAATTGGCAATAATACATGGGATGGGCAGAAACTGGGACAGGATTTTCCCTTTTCCAGGCTTTTTGCAATTTGCTGAGCAAAACCTTGGCCACAGCCACAGCTCAGCGCAAGAAGGACAATGCTTTCCCTGGAGAGGTTACACCAAGCCTGATAGATGATAGCTGATGAAGATGCATGTACTGATGGATGCACTCACCCGTCCGACCCGTTGCAGTTGTGCTCTCGCTCTCTCCTGTGTAGTGGACAGCAGAAACTGCCACCTTGTAGGCTCGATCGGGCAGCAGCGGCTGCAAGGTCACACTGCTGCTTTTCCCAGAAGCCATGATCTACAGCAGGATGGAAAAAAAAACCCTCAGAGTTTGGCTTTTATCCACATCCTGGGGCTGCTCTGAGGATTTCTAGCAGTGAGTTCCAGGGCAGCATCCCCATTTATTAGGGAATGATAAAAGGAAACCATGGAAGCCTGATCACGCATTGCCATCAGAACTATTGTGTCCAGGGGAAGAGTGTTTCCCTAAGTAAAGACTTCAATATTCCCCTTGTAGATGGGTCAAAAGATTCTTAAAATATGGTCACCAGTTTGGATTGCTGTGGCAAATGTTCACTGCAAAATGTTAATTGTTAACCTGTCAAATCAGGCGGGCAGTAGAGTTACCCACTACCACTCTGCCTCTTGGAATTCCCCACTCTGTTCCAGGGAGAGGAGAAAGCTGTGTTATTTGCAGCTCTGATGGACAACAATAAGTGAATCAGAAGGAAGCCTGAATCAGAAGGAAGTCTTCTTCATAAAGCAGCTTGACAGCAAGTCAAAGGAAGAAATTTGGTTTCGTTCTCACACAAACTAATTCTTGATAGAGAAAACCCTATTGGAGTGAACAGCACTCTGTTAGCCATGAAACAGTCCCTCTGTCCCACCTGCCAAGGAGCTGAACTTACTGTTTGCTGGGTGCTGGGATCAGAAACAGGACTGTAGGTGATTCTGTAGTGTTGTATGCGACCCTCGGGTGGCTTCCAATGGATCTGGAGGCTGGTGGGGCTCTCAGAGTCTATGAAGAGGTTGGTGGGTGGGCTCCGAGAAGCTGTGCAGGGATTAAAGGGGAATAGCAGTAAAGTCAGATAGTGAGGTCTGAAATCAGGGCCAGCAATGCTTGCTTCCATGTCCCTTCCCCGATGCTTTGCTAGTGTGCTGTAACCAGGGCCTGGAGCAGAAGCAGCCACCTTAGGGACCAGGCAGAGGAGAAAACAGAGTCTGGAGGGATGAGGATGAGTACTGCCTGAGACAACATGGTACAACTCAAGTATTCAGTAATTCAAAGCCTAGGTCGTGGGGGAAAAAAAGAATATTTGGTGGAGAGAAGAGTCCTGGAGGCACAAGGAAAAAAAGATCCTTTGGATGCATCATGGACAAACACAAGATACCCTTCAGAAAGACCAAATTGTTCTTGTATTTCATCAAAGACCTGGAGACACACTGGAGAAAAAGCTTGATTGCTGGTTAAGCCCGGATCAAAGCTAATGCATCATCATTTCTACTATTTCTCAGCTTGGACTTTGCTTTAAAATTATCCTTTAAAGAAAAAAATCACACAGAGCAGCCAGCACACAGCAGTTTGTTTAACACTTCTCACTCAGCACCCACAGCCCCAGGGAAGGATGGAGCACAAAGCCTGAGCTGCTCTCCTGTTCCTGGCCCTGCACCACAGTGGATGGATGGATCCCAAATGGGTGATGGCCTGAGCTGCAGTCAGCAAGAAGAGGGTTTGCCAGAGACCAAAACAGAGCATATCTTAATTATATAGATGTATTTCTTCCCTGGGGTGCCACTGTATAGCAAGCTGGACCTGGCAACAGAGAGAGTTACAGTGTGATTTCTCCGAGCAGGGGCTGGGGGTTAAGAGAAAGGCAGAGGGAGCTGAATCCATCCACTTTCAAACAAAAGAGGTTGAAAACTAGGGAAGAAAGTTCAGCCCATGGCAATGATAGAAAAAAATATGACTTCTTTAATCACTGCAGATGGGTATTGTGATGGAGCGTTACGGGATTCACATATGGGAGTATGGAGTCACCTACTCCAAGAGCTTATTTCTAAATAGCTTCTTGCTCTGTATAAATATCTGGCCTTGAATCCTCACTGGTGTGAAGACAAAGAGGTCTTGAGAGTGAAAAGTAGGCTTTTTTTTTTTTCCTTCTTCAGAAGACACTAAAAATGATGGGCGAGTCCCGAAGACAGCCAAGGACACACACCCAGGCTATGAAGTTTCTATTCTGCAGTTTTACCTGCAATGCAAACAAGCTCTTCTGCCCACCCAGCAAAGACTGAGGTGACCTTAGAGCACATGTTGAATGAAGATTATTTGCATCTTCATTGATCCTCCTTCCATTTTCTGGACAAAAACAAGCCTACTTTTACTGAAGCTGAACCAAGTTTTCCCAGAGCTGAATCAGGCTGGAGGCTGTTGCTGTGCATCACCGCAAGGTAAAGAAGAGAAGAAAACAAGTGTGGGAGGAAAAGTCATTTCAACATTGCTATTCTTAGTGCTGTGCCATACCTCTGCATCTTTGCTGTCTGCATTGGCTATTTCATTCAGCTGATGTAAGTGGTGACTGTTTAAATGAACAAAAGGAAAGTTAAGTGAAGTCTTCCAAGTTGAGTTTGTTCTGGAAAGCCCCCGGGCTGGGCACAGTCTGACAGCATGGATGTGACAGCCAGGGGAAAGGTCACCTCCCAGAGCTGCCCATGGGGGGTGGAAGCATCTCTGACACCCAGGGCACCATCTGTGCTTCTGTTACCTCCTGTTCCTCCGCAGGGGGAATCCTGGGCTACTTGTTTTCAGGTCTAGCCAGAATCACAGACAAAAATTCCGAGTAAAAGTACAGCTCTGGAGTCTGCTCCATCACAATACCCGTCTGCAGTGATTGTACAGGTTATAGTTGTTCCCTTGGTACCACGGGTTGAAGTTTCTTCCCTATATTTCAATCCCTTTTATTTGCAGTGTGAGCTCTCTGAGGAGCAGGAGGAAGAATGTGCAGACACTTCTGGCACAGCTCTGCTGGAGGAATGGGACACATAAACACTCTGTAATGAACTTCAACACAGAATCAGCCCAGGAGGCTCAGCCCAGCCTTAGCAGCACTCCCACCTGACTGCCCTCTTGCTCTTTGTGCTGCAGAGGATGAGGTGCACTCACCCAGGGGCAGAAAGATTCAGCTAAATAATGCTACATAGCAGATACCACAGAGACCCCCACACCCTTTGTCCTCCAGGTGACCTATTTTGTTCAAGCTCTTTTTCTTCTCTATAACAGAGAGATCCCTACCAGCTTCTGAGCAAGAACAAAAGCAACCACTTCCAGTGTCTCCCAAGGGCACCACCCTACTTCCCAGCAGCTCCCTCTCCCAGAGAGCATCCTCCACACTCCCACTAGTTGGGCGCAAGGTTTGTGTCCATCAGAAGTACAACAAGTCTTGTTTATTAATATGACAGATGAGCACTGCGTAGAGCCTTTAGTCAAGGACAAAGACTTCGTTACGCTAGATCATTTATAGGAACATAATGAGAGGAGAGCTCTTGACACAAATAAGCCTTGAATCTAAATATATCAGAGATGAGGAGGTATATCAGAACTGCAGGTAAGTACGTGGTAACAAATTAGTTATCTGTGGGAAATACACCAACATGCTGTTGCTCCTACTGTGCCTTCTGGTAAGTCTACAGAGAAGGATTTGCTTAACTGTTCTGCTCAAAAAGTATCCCTGAGCATCTTATTTTTTCTAGTCAAGACTAAGACTTGAAAAGAAGTGCTCCATGCATTGCAATGGTAGTGAGGAACTGGACTCATGGAAGAGCACTGTCAGCCCTCCTGTGTTACACAGCCCTGAGGAGGGATGCCCATGCATCCCAGTGATGTGAAGGCTGATGTCCCTAATGCATCCCTGTTCCTGACAAGCAGAAGCCAATGCCAGCAAGGATTGGTTTGCTTGAATAAGCTGAGAACACCATCACATGCCATTGGCAGTGGGTTGAAGGAGCGGCTTTGACATTTTGTACTTCATGCTTTAAAACAGCTATTCATTTTTTTGAAACCTCTAAACAGCTCTCATTTTTCTCACAGAGCTGCAGGATGCTTTCATTTTTTATTTGTTCTTGTTGGCATGCATCTCCTAGGTACTTGCCTGAGGTAGCTCTCTATAAGCAAAAGTTGTTATTATTCATTATTAATAAAACCTGAGCTTCTCGTTCCAGGATTGCCATTTACTCTGAGCTTCATCAGCTCAGCACCAGCCTGAAAGACTTCGTTCTGCAAAGGAGGTTGAGAGCTGTGAGAAGGAAGAGAGGATTGCTGCTGCTGAATGAATTGTATTCCATTTGCTGCCAACAAAGCCATTATACAGGCAATATTAATTAAGAGGACCTCTGGGAGTACCGCTTTTTAACCTCATATCCTGCCTGTACAAAGCAAGATTTAGATAATGCCTCCACGCAGAGTCTGCCTGAAGGATTCTCTCTCATTTTTGCAAGTGCCCTCAGATGAAGCACAGCTCAGAGATGATGTAGCTGGAGAAACCCACACCCTCCTCAGCAGACAATATTTTACTAACAGGAAACATTCATTAGGCAGCACACTGACATTTTCAGCTCAACACCCAACAAAAAGCCAATGCACACTGATGCTACAAAAGGAGAAAGAAATGTACCAGCCAGCTCATGCTTGCCCAGTATATTTTCATCAGGAGAAATTCAGAATATTAATATGGGAGCCTAAATATCTTCAGCTACATTTAGATATCCGGGTCTGGGTTTTCATAGCTGCAGACAACCAGATCTGAGCTCCTGACTTGTGCCTGGGTCTGAGGCATCCTGTGCCCTCTTTGTTGTCACTAGGCTGCTGAGACCGAGCACTGATCACTTACTGGTTCTGTGCTGAATGGAAACTGTGTCACTTCGAGCACCATCTTTGTAGTAGGCCCAGATGGATATTTTGTAGTCTGTGTTCTTCTGCAAGCCAGGCAGGATGGCAGTTGCCACATTTCCAGCAATGGAGAGCTGCAGCAGGACAAGAAATGAGTCAGTCAAATTCCCAGGCTTCCCTAGGCTAGTTCATGCCATCCAAGTGTCTGGCTCACAGACTGCCTGCAGGCACAAATGAGTTAGCATAGGGCTTTGAGGACAAAGTCGACTCTTGTGGGTTGCACAAATCCAAGCAAAGGCAAATTTGCAGCCCTAATGAATGCAGAGTAGATGCCCATGCATTGCTAGCCAGTTGTTCTTAACAGCTACTTCTGTCAGATAACATAGAGTCCCTGGTACAAGGCAGTCAGCCTGCTACGAGCATGAAATCTCTCTGCTCACTTCCCATCTTTTAGATACATTGTGCATAGAAGCCCCACTATACCCCTATTCCAGCCTAAATGTGAAGCACAGCAGGGGGAACTCAAGCAGTCACTGTGAAAACAGGGGCTTGGGATAGAAGAGGTCACCTGGTCCATCCCTACTCCTACTTGCATCAGTTCTGATTCTGATCCATCTTCTCTGTGTTCTCATCAGTAAGACCTCATCCTTCCTGAGGAGCATTATCCCCACAGCAGCCAGGATTTACCACCACTACAAATACCTGACTATTGTACTTGTCTTTTCCACAAAGACTTGACATTGTGGGCTGGTGATTCTCTGCAACCCCAGATCCTTTTCTACTGAATCGCTTCTTAGCTGTTTGTTCTACATCCTGTATACCTGTCTTTAATTATTCCTGCCTAAGCTTAATACTTTGTTTGTCCCTATTGAATTTCATCCTTGAGTTTTTCCAGAGCACTTCTGCAATCTTCCCAGAGCCTGCAGGACTCCAAACCTGCCACCCCGCTGTCCCTCCTGCTTCCAGCATTCAAGGTGACTACAGCACACAGCAGAGCCAGTGTGGGATAGATCCTGTCTTAATGCTGAAGGTCCTGAGTGCATGAACCCAAACTGAACTGCAACTCTGCCACTCTTGCAGGTCAGCACAGGGCCGCCATAGAATCATTAAAGTTGGAAAGACCACTAAGATCATTAAGTAGGACCAACAGCCCATTGCCAACAAGCCAACTAAACCACGTCCCTCAGTGCCACATCTTCCCTTTTCTTGAATACCTTCAGGGACAGTGACTGCATCACCTCCCCCAGGCAGCCCATTCCAAGTCCTGATCATTCTTTCTGAGAATAAATTTTTCCTAATACCCAACCAGTATCCATCGAGCAGGCACAAACCCAACCCGGCTGTACGTGGGTCCGTACCTCCTGAGGCTTCTCTCCACCAGCTGTGCTCCACTTGATCTGATAGACAACCACATCGGAGGCAGCGACAGCTTCCCAGTGCAGACGGAGGCTGTTCTCAGAGAGCTCAGAAACCTTCAGCGCCCGCGGCGGGGGGACCTTCACTGAGGGATGCAGGAGGACAACGAGCTGAAGCCCTGACAGCGCCTTGTCAGAGCTGAGGTGGGGAGCAGATGGTTGGGAAGCAGAGCATCAGCCAGGCAGCTGTCTGAGATCAGCCTGTCTTTCACTTCTTCCAATCCAAATGGCAACAGCCATCAGGACAGAGAGGAGAACACTGTTTTCAAAACCCTAATTAAGGAGGATTATTTCATTTGTGGAGAGGGTGCGTATCACTCTGATACTGCAAAGGGGAGAAGGCTCCCAAGGACACAGAGGTTAGCAGTATGTAGTTTGCTTTCTTCATTTATTCCTTCACCTCTATTATTAACATAACAGAATGGGGCACATTCCAACAGTCACCAGTTTTTTACAAGGATCTTGGCCATAAGCTGCTGGGACCAGCATTGAAAACATCTCATTTTAGGCACATGCAGGACAGTTTGGTCAATAGGAAAGAAAGCATTTCCACTTACAAGTGGTGACGTTGCCAGTGATTGGAAAGGAGTCACCCTCATCATACACAGATCGGACACTGATGAAGTACTGGGTGAGGGAGGACAGTGGTCTCAGGACAGTGGACACTGCAGTGCCAAGAACCTCAATCTGCAATGGAGAGGGATGAGTTGGGAGAGAAGATCATGGAGACAGCTGCAGAGGGCTTCGCACATCCCTCAGAAGTGCCCATTTCAGAGATAACACTCCCTTCATGCACCAGAGAGAACAGGGCAGTGTGTGACCTCCCAGCTCTCCCTCCAGCAGCCCCTGAGGACTCACCTCCCCAGTGTTGCTCCCTCTGCTAGACACGTAGGTGACACGATGACCTTTCACTGCCAGTGATGCTGGCTCCCAGCTGACCCGCACGGATGAGTGGCTGAGCTCTGAGAAGCTCAGGTACCTGGGAGGGCTCAAGGCCACTGCAACACAGTGAGTGACAGCACTCAGGGTTTGAAGCCTCAAAATAATTCCCATTCTCTGGGATGTCATGGAATGCTATCTGTGCTTTAGGTGAAGAAATGCCCAAGAAATTCCTCCTTTCTCCCCAGACAAAAAGATCTTAAGGAACAGTCCCTTTAGGAGTCCTCTTTTACCAGGGAGGAATCACTGCTTCACAGCTCACCGGGTGATTAGAGACCATCTTAGGGACCAGTATTAAGAAAAAGCAGGATTTACAAGCCACAGGCGCAATACAAGAAACCTTTAACTTACCTAATCTCTCCCACCTTAAGTGTTTAAAAACAACCAGCAGCAGCACTTACAGGTGGTTTCCTGGATGCTGGCTGGATCACTGGCATCTTCCCCATACAACGCATACACTGCAATGGAGTACTCAGTGCTGGGTGACAGCCCGTCCAGCAGGACCTCGGGCTCAGCCACCTTCATCTGTCACAGGGAGAAGTTCAGGGAGACATTTCAGTTCTGGGTACCCCTCAGTCCCAGGGGAACACTTCAGTTCCAGGACACCCTTCCATTCTGGGCTGCCCTCTAATGCCCTCTGACCACTTGGACATGGGCTTTGCACTGCCAGAGCTTCTCTGCCTCCCTCCCTCCCCAGAGGACACCAAGTACATTGAGGGGTCACATCCCTTTCTTCCCCCAAGGCCTGCAGAGGTGTATCTCTTACATAAAGGTGATGCTATTATTCTGGGTTGGATCAGGCTACCTGAAGTAAGTTCAAACAAGTCATTTTTTGTAAGGAAAATATGGAGATTTTCCTGGGAAAGACATTATAATGGAAAGATGAGTATGGATGTAAAAAGCAGAGTGGCTTCCACTACTGCAAATACAAAGCTGGGGGTTGATTTCTGATAGTAGGATGCAAAAAATATGTATTCTTGGTGAAAATTCCCCCAAAAGAAAGGCAACAGAGCAGGAAGCCTGCATAGTTCTCTCCCATTTCCTGCAGCACTCAGTGGGGAGAGCAGAATGTGCACAGCGTGCAGCATCCCTGTGTCACACAGCGAGAGGGGATGGAAGGGGCTTCAAGAAAGCAAGGTTTTAAGTGAGAGATAGTGAGCCTCTTTTCCTCTATGGCCTGGGAAGCTTGCATGACAGCTGCCTGCTGCAAGCAGGGCTATAGCAGCTGGGCTGCTGCCACCTGCCGCTAACAGTGCACGGCACAGCCCTCCCTGCACAGCCTGCTTGCTGCAGGGACCCAGCACAGCGATTTTCCACTCATCTGGCATTGCTTTATTTTTATACAGTGCCACAGTTCTCTTTTTAGAGGTCAGTGAAAGCTGCCCTTACAAATTTTCAATCAATATTTGAAGACAAGCAAAGCAAAAATATTTCTGTGCAGCCTCAAGGATGCAGAAGTTACTCTTGGGGCTGCAGAGGTGTGAACTCAGTCACTGGGCTGCCAAAGGTTTCTGTGCTTCAGGTCGGCTCTGTATTGTACTGTCAGAACTCAACCCCCCACAGAGAGACAGGCACTCATTTTGGACTCTTTAACTGAGGAGAGACAAAGGAAAAGCAGTATTGCCACCATTCTCATGGAGCGTACCTCTGTCGAATAGTCCTCTTCTCCATCGGGGGCTGCAGAGCAGAGCACCAGGTACTGTGTGGCTCCCTGAGCTGCCTTCCAGCTCAGCTTGATGCTGTTGTGGCTCAGCTCAGAGACACGCAGGGAGCGGGGGGCAGACAGAGGCACTGGGAGAGAAATGTGGCAGAAAGACACTTTCAGCTGGGGGACACCCAACCTGCATCCAACACAGCCACTTGTCAAGGAGTAGGATTAGTTCATTTGCAGCCCAAGGGTGGAAAAGGGACAAGGGTTGTAGAAAATTTCTGTTTGGGGTGTGTTACTCCCATGGCAGGTTGAGCTCAGCACAGTGGTGTCACTTGCAGAATGACATAGGTGGAATGGGACACTTGAGGGTCTCTGGTCCAACCCTGCTGAGCCAGATTAGAGGAGGTTGCTCAGGGCCTTGTTCAGTCAAGTTCTGAACATCTCCAGGGATGGAGAGAGTTGCAGACAAACCATCTGAACAAGAGGGAGGGGGAATATACAGTGCCAGGCTCCAGACTGAGGTGGTTGCAAAGGCAGGGCTATGTTCACCTCCCACAGACACACATCAGAGGAATGTTCTCTACTCACGACATACATGTGGAGGTGACGCCTCTCAGCCCATCCCCAACGGCTGCGTCATAAATGGGAAACACTGACACCAGGTACTCTGTGTGCGAGGTCAGGTTGGAAAGCCACAGAGAGGAGACAGCTCCATCCAGAAGCACCTGAAACACAAAGGAAGATGGTCAAGTCCAGGAAGTGCCAGCCACGGCAAAGGAAAAGCTGAAGCTGTCTTCCCTGGCAAGCATGGAGATAGGAGGTTGTAAGCATTCCTGCCCTTGAAGGATTGGATCTGTACAAGCACATAGCACAAGACCCCAATCATGCTCTCACTGAAGTGAATGGGACAGAATGTGATTCCATGATTGACAGTTTCAGTTGGAAGGGACCTGATGTGATACTCAAGCCCAGCTGTCTTACCACTTCAGGGCTAACCAACAGTTGAAGTGTATAATTAAGGACAATCCAAGTGTTTGGATTTGCTTTTCTGATTCTGTCAGAGATGAGCATCCTTGAACACCTTTGTGTAGCTGTGTGTGTTCTTTGAGGTGCCTTAGGGAGGGGATAACACTGTGCAAGAGAGAACTGCATGGGTATGGCTTGCAGTAGTTCTAGCAACATAATATTTATCCAGTTTCCTCTTCTGCCTCGCCATCCCATCACCTTGTCACATTTGGGCTCAGTGTTCAATTTCCTTTCTGGCTTTAGCTGATATCCCGTGGTCATCGCACTCCTACCCTCATCACTCTGAATTCCCAGCCACTGACTGGGAGGCACTGCAGTGTCCCACAGGTACCTCTTACCTCCTTGGGAGTGCCGCCCTTCGATGGGTTGTACACAACCCGGTATTTCTTTGGTGGACTCAGAGGAGGACTCCAGGCCAAGTGCATGCTTTTAGAAGTCACAGCTGATATTTTAAGGTCTGTTGGGCTCAGCTGTGGACCCGTATTTGTAGGGATGTCTTTCACAGCTCTACCTGGGAATTAAAAACGCAGTCACTTTCTTGTATTCAGACTTCTCATACCAAATATACTTTCTAGCTCATAAATGCAACTGCCTTTTTTTAAATCAAATTGCAAAGCTGAGAAACTGTTCCAAACTGCTGTAAAATAAATATTTAAGAACTGAGCAAGCAGAGAACATAAATACTCCATAGAGAATAATTTGTGCATTCTTCTGGTTGCTGAGAATATTCTTTTCAACAGAAATATGCATTTTTGCCTGAATCCAAAACACAGCCCAGCTTTTTTTCAATTATGAAGATCTGTCAAAATGAACCAGAAGTTCTTTTGGCTTCTTTTTCTATGCAACCATCTTTCTTTAGGCTAACCTGTACCTGTAAAAAGATGCCCAATTACATCAAACAAGTACAAATTAATAAGAGTGAATCAAATTATGTCTATGTCTATCCACAGAGCATTAAAATAAATGTATGCTTGAAAGTTTGTCTTTCCCATTCTCCCTAGGCAAGTCTGAGAGAAGAGAGAGATGGAAATGTGTACGTGATATTTCTCCTGAGGATCTAAGCTAACATCTGGAGTCGTTCTTCACTCTCTTGTACATCATGCAAACTGCCCTCCAGCAAAAAAAATGAAAAGAAATAGAGTGTTTGGTTTTGATTTGAAGATGCCTCGGAGATTACTTAAAGTGTGAGGGAAAAAAAAATGTGTTTAGATGCTTTGCTGTCTCCTCTTCCTACTTCCAGATTTCTTCCATACTACAACTATATTCTCAAATTAGCTCTTTTGCGTTGAATTCCTCCTGTTGGTTGAAAGAAATGCAGAGAAAAAAATGATTGCAATGCATTTTTCACACAGTAGAATAACAAAAAATGTAGAACAGAAGCCTCCTGTTCCCTACAATGCTAGTTATTGCCATTAAGTGTTTTACAGCCACCAAAAGGTATCCAAGGCCCTGGTGAGGATGGCTGTTGCCTGTATTGGCAAGGATAAGAGCAGATACCTAAACCAAGAGCAAGAGAATGGAAACACCTGCAAGTCCCTCCATGGCTTGTTCACAGCAGCAGGGAGTGAGGGTGGAAGAGCTGCATCCAGAGAGTCTTGTAAACACCAAGATCAGAGCTTGCCAAAATGGTGGCAAGGACTGTTTTCAGGCAGCTATAGCACTGAGCAAGGAGATCAGCACAGGAAGGGTCAGATGGTGCTGAGGAGGTGGTGGAGCTCATGGAGGGAAAGGTACGAGAAAGGATGTTGAGAAAGGAGATTTTTTGATGGCAAGGAAAGCTGATGGTAAGCAGGAGGAAGCTCGTCATCACCAAGGTTTCACCTCACCTGCACTCTCCTTGCTGCTCCTCTCTTTGATCCTGCTGCAGAGGACCCGGGTGAGCCTGCCAACCAAGGAGCTGAGCAGGGGGAAGTCCAGCACGTTGTACACTGTGAGCTCCAGCGGCTCTGAAGCCACCTGCTTCAGCTCAGCCTCATCCGCGTTCTTCACCCCTACAGACAGCAGAGCACAGGGCTGAGGAAGCTCCTTTAGAGGACAACTTCTGCCTCCTGCTTGGATGTTGGTTTTGGGATCAACAGCTGATTTTGTTTTCCAGTGCTAGCCTTTAGGCCATCCTAGCACTGCTCAAGTGAGGCAGGAGTCCTTTCCCCTTTGCTCTTGTGGTGAGAAACTAAGGTGTCTTGGGGATTAATTCAGTCTTAGGACCAAACAACCTTCCTTTAGTAAGAAAGGGGAAGCATGAACCTCAGGTGGGACCCGACCTGCAAGTCATTTCAGCTGCACAGTCCAGCACACAGCTGAGGCTCAGCAGCTACACTCAGTCCATGAAAGAAATCCCAGTGACAGCCAACTATGTACATACTTGAATGTAATAAAGCCTCGCTTGTGTGTTCTCGACTTAAATAAGCACTTGAAGTGCTGGAGGTTGCAGTTCTAGGAGAGCATTCTGTGTAACTTTATTGTCCATGCCTTACTCTTTAGCAGACTTGTTCAGTCATCAAGGACGAAGCTGCCTGAAATCATTTTTTTTTGTCTCATTATTGCTACCAGACAGTAAAAAGCAGATAATGCTATTATTCAGAGAAACTGGAAGTTCTGAGAGGCAGTAATTACAAAGTAATTACAAAGCAATTACAAAATTCTCTTGCCTATTTCCACAGCTCAGAATACTGCTCTCATGGCAGTTAGCTGAGACTGGCAAAGGTCTTTATACACAGAAGGTGTAAAATCTCTTGAGAATGAGTGGGTTTTTTTTCTAAACGAATAAAATCTCATTTGAAGATACTACCTGTGCTGAATAAATGAGTTAATTTTCTTCTCAGCCCCAGTGCAACGCAGTCCTACTCACTACCTTAGCTTTACAGCTTCAGGATGTTCTTGTCCTGGGGAAAATAAGGTTCAGCATGAAGAGGGAAGGTAGGTCGGCTTGATGTCTGTGATCTTACCAATAGCAAATATCTCTATGCCCATGTTTTTCAAGGTCTGAGCAGCCAGGTTGGCATCATCCTGGGATTTTCCATCAGTCAGGACGATTACCAATTTCTCAGCTTCCAGCCGGGCACCAGCATCTGGTTTCAGATTTTGTTCCAGGACATGGGTGAGCGCCAGGCCTGGGGAGGAGAACAGATGGATGGTGGGCTACAGCCAACAGACTGCCTCCACTCTTATCCTTCCCTCATTCACTTTGTCCCCCCAGGGAGATGCTACCCCATGGGAACAACTTCCCCCAGCGCAGCCTTGCTGTGATCGGAGAGATGCAGTTACCTGTGAAGGTGTTGCCACCCTTGTAGCGCAGGTTCCTCACTGCCTCCAGCACCTGGTCCCTCGTAGCATAAGCGCTCAGATCCCACTCTGTGCGGGGATCGCTGCTGTACTGGGACAGCCCTGGGGAAGGCAAGAGCTATCGACATCGTGCGAGCCAAGGCAGGCTGCAAGAGGAGACCTGTTTTGAGGAGGAGGTGTTGGGCTTGTCATGGGTGGATGACACAAAGTAATGAATTGGAAAGGGAGCGAGCAGACCTGGCTCCTAGCTCCATTTTTCCCTGTGGTGGTAGTAACTTCTGAGTGGTGCTCTGAAGCGTTTTAAGGTCTCAGAGTCATTCAAGAACAAACTAGTTAGCTGCAAGGAACAGGAAGGATTTATGTTGCCCTGATTCACACACAGCCTGGCCAGTGCCATCCACTGGGTTCGGCATCCCTCAGAACTGGGTTCAGCATCTCTCAGAGCTGGAAGTGGCTCTGTTCTCAGCTGAGACCTAAGGAACCCCAGCGTGGCATTCCCACCCCACCTTTGTGTCATACTCTGTAGGCTGAGTATACCATCAGAGGGAGACAGCAAACTCCAAGCATATCTCAGCATCAATCGGGTGCTCCCCCAACACCTGGCCTGCTGCTGCCCACACATTGCTTTTGTTCACCATGCAGCTCTTCCCTGCAGCCGCTAGAGGCCAGAGCTTGCTACCAGATGGGAAAGTTGTCAAGATCGATGCACAGAATCCAGCCAAAAGGAGTAAAACTCCCTAGGGCAGCACGCTAACACAGAAACAGAGACCAAGGTCTCTTCTGGAGGCATTTCCCAAGGTCAGGAAACAGGAAAGTGTCCTACCTACTCTTATCTTGTCTTGGGCAATATTGAATGGGGAAATTAAAGCGCTCAGGAACTCTTTAATGAGCTTGAAATTGTTGCGCCCAATGCTCCATGATCCATCCACAAGCAGGACGATATCGGTCATGGCAGACGTGTCACACTGGAACTGGTAACCTGTGGAGAAACAATGTTTGATATGTAAAGAAGCAATTGTAAAGGAGGAAAAATATTTCAGTTTTAAGATGAGAAGCAAGTCTGCAGTGTAAAGCTTTGGACCATCTGCCAGCCCAACACATCCCAGCGTCTTGGGAAAAGCACATGGCGAAGGGCAACTTATCTCAGTATCAAGAAGCTGAACAGTGAGCAGCAACCTTTCTGTAAAGAAAGTGTTAAACCCATTGGGAAGTGCGTGCCTAGGCCAAGCATTGCTCTCTGCAAGCTGTCAGCTCCATTACATCTCAGCCCCAGCCCTTGCTTCCCTTTTATCTAGCCTAAGTCTCCAAAAGAATTGCAGGTGATCGCTTAATAACATTCCATTGTGAGATCCCCCGTGGGCTATAATTATTTCCTGGTGTTATATTGAATCCAGTCTCTCTGCAAAAATCTTCATCACAGATATTCAAGGATTGTCTTTCTTTCTACCCCAGACATGCAGCTTAACAGAGGATAAGATGGGGCATGTTGATGATTGAATGCATCTTTCCTGAATATTTTTCAGATGCAGAATTTTCCATCTTTGGTAGAGGGAAACAGATGGTACCATCCAAATTGACTGAGATGCCAAAGGGTCAGTCTCCTATCTCTTCTCATGGCCATGAATTTCTACTGTTATCAAGGGACCAAAGAGGGATGTTCTAGCCAACCCCCCTCCCACCACTTCAAAAGTGCTTTGAGCCATTCAGTTGGAGGATCTAAAGTTTCAGCAAGGATCAGTTAGCTGGGAAATGTGAAGAACAAGACCAGGATGCCAGCGTGTGCTGGAGAATGATAACCTGTATGAGTAAGTCTGAAGCAGGAAGAGGTGGAAACATGCATAGAGAGAGAACAGTGGGAAATCATTCATTAAAAAACTCTTTTCCCTTGTGAAGGAATTTTTGTCTTAGCTCCAGTTTTCCTTTATATCTGTAATGCTTTGCAGAACTCCAAACTGTTTCAGTGATCCTTGGCAGCTCTCCAAAGCATGATCTAGCAAATAAGAGCAGCAGCACTCATGCTCCCTTGGTGACAGAGAGACAGCTGGAAGGATTGTGTTTAGCAATCATTAGAGAAAACAGTGGGGGACAGAGAGCAGGACACGCTTGAAACAGCTCTCACCTCTCCTCAGTGAATCCCTTGTGGGTTTTTCTTTTCCTAGAGACTCTCGCTCCACGTTTGCAGTGATACGCTGGGATGACTTTGTGGTTGGTGATGGTGTTTGTGTCACACCAACACTGGGCTGGTTCCTCATGGTTTCTCCTGAGCCCTTGGGCTGAGTCCCTTTGTGCCTTTTCTTTTCAGCTCTGTCCTTTGCTGTGCTCCAAACAGAAAAAGAATACATTTTTTCTTCCTATGTTATTGCCTTGCCACCTCCTCCAACCATTGGCTGATTTCAGCCATATTTGAGGGTTTTGATCATAAAAATCCTACAGGGTTTATGAAAATAGGTAGTTAAATAGAGGAGATTCTGTTCTTCAGCTACAGCCGTGGGGGACAGAGCCTTTGAGATTATGGCACCTTTAGCCCCGGTGCTCAGGGAGCAGCTCATTCCCCAGGGAGCAGTGCTCAGCTGAAAGATGTGGCTGTAGGTGCTAAACTTGAATATTTGCCAGTCCCAGGCATCCCAGGATGTGCTTCATTGGGCTGGCATGAGGGGCAAATATTTTTAGGCTGGTTACTGTGTATTTAAGAGGTATGTCTAGTGGTTGGCAGTCCTGCCCACGGCAAGGGATTGGAGTTTGATGATCTGTAAGGCTTCTTCCAGCCTACGCCGTTCTAAGATTCTACGAACAAGCAAGGTACAAGACTGAGCCCCATGTACTACTGAATGAACGTCCCAAACAGAGTAAATCCCTTGAAGATTGCATTTCCATAGCTCATCTGTGCACACAGCAAGGCAGTGGCCCCAGGACACTCTGTGCACCCACCTGGATGTGTCACGACGGTGCTCAGGGGTGGTGGAGCAGTCTCCATCTCCAGGCTCTGCACTGCTGTTGAGCTGCCCGCAGAGGTGAGATTCTTTCCTGGTGCAGCTCCTGAGCTCCTTCGGTTATTTCTAGTCTGGGATGCATTTTTAAGGTCCTCTACTATAGAAATCACAAATACAGGCAGGAGGAGTCAATCCAGATGGGTCTGTGAGTCATGGTCCACCCCTTATCCCATCGGTATTCACCATCTCCCCTCTCCAAGCTTGCAACAAAATAGTAATGGGCTTCAGTACAGTCTATGGGGACACTGAATGTAAGAAAACATATCCCTTTACAATAAGGGTAGTGAGGCACTGGCTCAGGTTGCCCAGAGAGGCGGTGCATGCCCCATCTCTGGAGGCACTCACAGTCAGGCTGGACAGGGTTTTAAGCACTGATGGAGCTGTGGGTGTTCCTGTTCACTGCAGGGGAGTTGGTCCAAATGGTTTTTAAAGGTCTTTCCCGATTCAAACAAATTCTTGATTCTACTATTTATCTGCCAGAGAACGAGCTCTGAGGAGTCACATCTCCAAGAGCTCTCAGAATGGTAAAATGTAGATCTTTCTACTTACTCACAAATTTCCTCTTGGCGAATAAGGCTTCCTGGGAGCCATTGAGCACATAGACCTGCAGTGTGTATTCCTTGGTAGGGCTCAGCCCCCCCACTGTGGCTTTGGGAGTCTTTGTTTTCAGCATGACTTCTTGCTCCGAGTCCCCTGAGGTGGGATGAAGCCACAGTTCAGAAATTGTTAGAGCTTATATTTAAGCTGACAATAGCAGAAATACCACCGAAATGCAGAGAATGTCTGTCTGGGGACCTCAATCAATTCTAATTTAATTTTTAATTCTGTGGATCTCTGCTTTCAGAGCTGAGAAAGTCTTTTAAAAAGCCCTGATACATGCTCCAAATGGAAAACCAGTTTCCACCTAGCACTAGTGTGACTCCCACTGACTTCTCAAAGAGCAGCTGACAGAAAGGCCAGTTCCCAGAGGGTGAAGGTTGGGCAAACACCACTTATGGAAACATCTAACCAAGTGATGTCCTTGAGGTCATTTGTGACAAAGTGAGGAAGTGCTCTGATATCTTCAGAGTTCTGTCCTGGCCCTTGGGACTCATTGTACTTAATGCAGTTGTTCTTGCTGTGTTTCCTCTGCAAACCTCATCTGTCCCTAAGAGAAGCTGTCCTCTGCACAGCAAGGAGCAGATAAAGCAAGGCAGCTCTGCAAAACCAAAGCCAAATACTGCACCGTGTCTCTGTTACAAGAGGTGGTATGGAGAAACTTTGGACCAAAAGAACAAAGCAAAGGGAGGGAGGCAAAGCAGCTCCCTAAAATCATCTGCGTAAGAAAGGTGTGTGAGCCTTTAAATGTGGGAATGGATGCATTTCTGATCTCGTCACCCTTAGGGCTGGAAATGGAGCTCCCCAGCCCACACATGGGGAAAGCCTTAGGCGTGCTCAGCGTGAGGATTCCCCACGTTCCTGGGATGCCCATCACTCCCTGGCAGGGGAGGAATGAGAAACTTCCAGCGCTGGCTGGGCAAACAGCTGGGGGCTGAGCTAAAAGCAGGCAGACGGGCACAAGCTAAGGTTGCACCCGGATGCTGCTCCCCCACGAGGACGTGGTGCCCTTCCTGCAGTGCCTGTCTGGAGTCAGAAGTCGGGGAGAGCTGGAGCTCATCCAGGGCAGGGAGCCACGGGCTGAACATCCCCATGTATGGGGCCAAGGACATCCCGTCCCTGAGGATGAGACAAACAGGACCCCTGCAGTGACAGAGTTATAACCACTGCTCTGTGAATTTGTTTTCTGTCTTTCTCTCCACTTTGGGCAAATATTCAATGGTGCAGACAAGGAGAAAGAGCATCCAGCAAATAGCCAGTGCCAGACAGAAGCTGGGAGCCCATCCCTCACTCAGAGCAATCTGCTGGGTAGCACATACCTGCCATGGGCTTCACCCGCACTTTGTAGCCACTGATGTTTCCTTCGGTTTCTTTCCATTTCATTTGGAGCCTGTCTTCTGAAAGGACTGTGAGTTTCAGCCGGCCTGACCCTGAGGAGGAGGAGAGGTGCCCATCCTGCTGTGGGTGCAATTCCTCCCTCTGCACACACTCACACATGCATGAAACCCCCCACGTGCTACTTCTACTAAAGACGCGGGGACAGCTGCAGTGCAAAGGGAACCTTCATCATCCCATACAAATACTCAGCATCTCCTGACATTGCACAGCCACTTCTGCTGCCCCTGGACCAGGAAACCCATCGTTGCAAATCCACCCTCCATCCTATGCTGAGGGGCAGCTTCTCTGGGTGAGCCCTCACTGTGTGCTGCTGCAAATGAGGAAAACAGCAAAGCAGTCAGAGTTCCTCTGTGCTCCTCTCACGCTGCAAGTCTTTACTGGGAGCCTTCGTGGCATGTGTGTGGTTTCAGCAAAGGTTTTGGTGCAGATGGCTGAAATAGAAGGGAAGGGAATAGATACAGGGAGTCAATGAGGCTCTGCAATGAACTCAGGCTGCTGAAAAATACAGAAATTCCCCAGGAGATGAATGCCATCCTTATGCAGAAAGATTGTTTAGGAGGAAGCTCCAGGGATCAGCTGGGTTTAGAGAGGAAAGGAAAAAAAAAAGAAAAGAAGAAAGAAAGAAAAGGAGAGAAAACCTGATAAAGTGTAACTAACACCTCCTGGCAGGGCTGTAACTCACGGGCACCAGCTTGCATTGGTTTGCTGCAGGGATCAGTGAACTGAAATGACAAATCCTGATGAAAAAAATAGTATTAGACAAGGAGGTAAAAAGAAGAAAGAGCACATTTCCTTATCAGCTCCAGATTTCTCAGAGATCTTTTAAAGCCCTGCTAAATGTCTCAAGCCATGTGTCAGCCTTTGAATCAGAGATCCCTCAGAGAAATACAGTCACACTATCATACAAATTTCACTGTATGAAACATTCCCACTTGACTAGCTGTAGGATGGCAACTCAGCAGATTTGTCTCCCCTCCTCCCTGCTCCTGCACCTACAGCTGCCTTTCCAGCAGGCTCTTTCATGTGCAATGAGCAAGTGCCTGCTTTGTCTGCATAGTAATAATATATGCCCTCAAATGCCCACCTCGTTGGCAGCTGTTACCAATCTCTTGCTAATGGCCTCACATTGTGCCAGGGGAAAGTCAGGCTGGATATTAGGAAACATTTATTCCTGGAAAGAGCAGTGATGCAGTGGCACAGCTGCACAGGGTGTGATGGGGTCACTGTCCCTGGAGGTGTCCCAGAGCTGTGGGCAGTGGGCACAGTGGGGTGGGCTGGGATTGGACTTTGGGATCTTGGAGCTCTTTTCCAACCTTCAAGATTCTATGATTCTTTCCTTTTCTCACTACTCATTAAAAATATATAAATAAAGCTTAAGGTGACCTGGAGCATCATAGAATGGCCTGGGTTAAAAAGGACCACAGTGATCATCCAGTTTCAACCCCCTGCTATGTGCAGGGCCGCCAACCAGCAGACCAGGCTGCCCAGAGCCACATCCAGCCTGGCCTTGAGTGCCTGCAGGGATGGGGCATCCACAGCCTCTTTGGGCAACCTGTGAACAGTGCCTCACCACCCTCTGTGTCAAAAATCATGCTCAGCACTGGCACACTTTGTGTTCTGTAGGGCTCCACATGTTCCTATTTTGGTCTTGCATGGTGTCAGACATCTCCCGACATCTTTGCATGAAGTCACACCCAGGAAAGCAGTGGGAGCTGGCAGCGAGGACTTGCTTGGCTCAACGCAGAATCTGTGCCTCAGCCTCTCCTTGCAGAGACTTCCTGTGGGCTGCCCAACAAGCAGACAACTATTTTGGGGAAACAAAGCTCAAATTCACATCTCACCCCATGCAAATGTGAAGAAGAAGAAAGAAAACATGGGGAAGAGGGGTGAGGGGCAAAATCAAATCTCAGAATCGTGCCGAAAAGAAGTGATAAAAGATCATGCAACAATGAGGGGAATTCATAGAGGAAACATGAAGCTGTCTTCTTCTGGACAAGTGTGGTCCAGCTCCTTGGCCATCGCTCTAGGAGCCCAGAAGTTAAAAAGGCAAGAATGTCCCCAGAGAGATCAGAAAGGACAGCATCCTCTGAAGCTCCATTATGTGCTGGATGCAAATGAAGCCCGGTGCCATGAAAGCCCCACTGTTTCTCTGCCCTGTGTTGGATGTGTGCTCTCTGATGCTGTAACCTTGCTCTCCAGCTGATGGGGAGCAAAGCCCAGACACACTGTGTGGAAGATGCACAGCACAGAGATAAGTCTGTCCTGAATGTGACTTGCCATCACCTCTCAGGAAAACCTTGTGGTGATCCCTCATATGGATGGTTCATATGGAATAGAAAGGTGGAAAGGAAATGGTGAGGTGCTATAGGTATTTTCTGCTCATTTATGGCACTGCAGGAGCTCTACATGCTACAGGAGGATGCACGTCTTACCCAGATGTCACACATCACCATGCAGCTCCACAGTGTCACAGTGCAGGACAGACATGACAATGAACAGAAGCAACAAGTTTTTCTTTCTGTTTCTCAAGCTCTGTTAGCAGACCCCACGAGCATCCTTTCCTGCTTACACAGACTGAAATGCATCCCCAGTGCAAGGGAGAGGCACTCTGAGCTGCTGCCAGAGATGAGAACAGGCATTGCAGAATGGGGTGGGATGAAGACGCTCTCCCAGCACTGGCTCCCTGATCTCCTATTGCTCTTTAAATATGGGAATACGCTGCTTGGAGCTTCCCCACCAGAAGGGCTGGCAGTTCAGCCCAGGTTTCAGCCCAGAGCCCCCCAAAGCAGTGCAGGTGAGCTCCTTACCTTGCCCCCCTCGTCCCCAGACGTGGCTCGCCACAGGCAGGCAGGCAAAAAAGAAGCAGGTACGAATCAGCATGGTGAGCAGGACCTGTGAGAGCAAGCACCAGGAAGAAGGAGCTCCAGTTACTTTTCGCCATACCAAAACCCACCTGAACCAGCTGGTTCTGCCACCCTGCAAGCCCTGCTGCTCTCTGCAGGGATGGTGCTGGGAACTGAAGCTTGTTGCTGTAATGGACTTTATTATTGTTTTTTGTTATTGTTTTTATTTTTTGTTTTGTTTCTGTTTAATTTTCTTTTCCAGCCCCCCAGCAAAGGAGCCACGAGCTGAGATACACAGCTCTTTCCATCACTGACAGCACTAAGTGGGCAGGTGGTGAAGCTCACATTCAACTTTTCTGCAATTCCTAGATATTATTTTGTATTATTTGTCTCTTCAATACAGCTGCTCAGCTCCTCGGACCAGAACTGAATTTGTACATCTGATAGGGAGGAGGCTTCAATCCAGTGCTCTTCTCAGCTGGCTGGGTTTCCAATGATCACAATAAAGCAATTAAGCAGCAGAAGAGGTACCACTCAATTTATACGTCATCAGCTTAGGAATGAGAGTTTCATTTATTATATATGGTGGAGTTCCTGAACAGTCACATCCAGGGTGCATTGGGATGGTCTTGTTTTGACTTGCTCACCTGAACAAGACTGAAATGCAGCTTTATAAAGGCAGAGGATCAATTTGATTTAGAAATACCCACTGTAACATCCCCAGAGCTGGTAGCTAAGGACAGCCACCCCTCAGAACTCACCCTATGGCTCACAGACCTCGAGGACCTTCTGTTGTCTTTGCTGGCCTGGACTTAGGTGTCATTTGGGACGGAAAAGTCAGGTCATCATAAAACCACCCTAACAGATAGATGCAGAGCCTCCTCCTGGCCTCAGCCTCTGTATACCAGGTTTAAAACGTGCTGATGTTTTTTTGCATCATTGGCATCTGTCATTTTTGTGCTACGCAATTGCTTTTGGCAGAACCAGACCATACACAAGTTTCCTCCTCTGCAGTGACATTTCACTTCCCTTCATTCTGATGGACAGGTATTTACAGGCTCCTGGCAAATGCCTGTATCTCCTCTGATATGTCAGCTTTAAAGTGATTTCAAGGAAAAATAGATATGCAGGAGTGACCTAGCCATGATCTCCTGGGTTTAAAATCAGTTCAAAATTGCTGTAAGAACGAATGGAAAAATATACTGCAAGTTATAACAGATAGATGTTAACCATTCTCCCCCTGCACACGCACTCATGTATGATACTCAGTCTGTGATTATTTTTTTTGATTGAAGATCAAGTTATACGGAACAACTGCGGTGTAACTGAAGCCCCTGGCCATGAGAAACACTTGCCTTTTTCCAGCTAACAAGATGAAGTCATTGCTCATAAACAGAAGCATATTACAGGTGGGCTCTGCGATCTGCGTTCTCAAAAAGAGCAAAGCCTACTCTTCCTGCAAGGGTAAATGTGGCAATGGGAAGAGAGGAGCTTGCATTAAAAAATTCCCTGACTCGAGGTCTTATTTGTCCCATTCTGCAATGGCACTGCATTGCTGTGCCACTTCCCTACGGCTTTGCTGGCAAACAGGACACCAGCACAGCACTGTGTTGGGTAGGATATTTACGTTAACCAGGGTTATGTGGGATCCAAAGTCCAGTGAAATAAGCACATGGGCATCTGCAACCTGCACTGAGCTGCAAAATCAGAGCCAGCAAGGAGCTTTCACCTGGATGTGACAATAAGGAAGAATTTGATATTAACACGGGTTACACTCATAAGTCCCAGCAGTGTAGATCCTCACTGTCACAGCACTGTGGCTGAAGCAAGGACTTCATCTCTGCTTCCTATGTCAGAGGCAAAACCATCAGCACTTCTTCTTTTCCAAATTTCATTTGCCCATCCATAAATCAATAAGAACAAAAGCAGTGGTTTTAAATAGTGGAAGATGAAAGCTAAAGGACCTATTGCTTCCTTGTGCCATAGGGTTACTTGCTGGACACCAAATCCCACCCATTTCTGCCTTTCCCATCCATTTCCCACCCTTTGCATCCACTTTTGCCCCTTTGGTGGCACCATGGCCAGACTGAGCTGCAGACTCCAGACCAAGGGACCACAATGACATCAGCCCAGCAGAGCACAGGGAGCTGCCTGCATGCTGGTGCCTCTCTCCCATTACTTGTTTGGGGAAAGAATTTGGAGACAACAACATATGGAGCAAGTGGTGAGTATTTCCAGGGCCTGGAAAATGGGAGGGGGACACGCACCACTTCCCGTTTGTCCCAGCTGTGTGCTCAGAGGGGATTTGGAGATTAAGGCTGTCTGAGATCCCCTTATTTGTGCAGGAAATTATAAGAACAGCCACTTCAATTAAAGAAAAAAAAAAAAAAAAAACACTATGATTTTATGTAGAAATATCCCTGCTGCATTTTTAAGTTGGTGAGGATGTAGGAGCAATGTAAATTCTTTCTGCCCTCCGCAGCCCCACAGACCAGCTGATAGTTTGGGGATGTTCCCATTGTTATCCCAGAGGACATCACCAGCCCTGCACAGAATTGTTGGCAGTGATGTCACCTCGTGGCCCTGCACACGGGCAGTGGCAGGGATCTCCCCGAGGTGCCACCTGCCTGCTGCAGGAGCCCATATTCCCTGAGCACTTTCCTAGTTAAAGAACTGACAACAGATGAAGAAAACCTGTATTCATCAAAACCTGTCTGTTCTTGCCTGCAAATCTTGTGTTTATTTCACTACTGAGCAAAAATCATCAGTTCCTCTCCACATCAGTCTCAAAAAAGTAAGGGATAAGGTCTGCTGTGAGGCATGGACCAGGCAGGTTTAGGAACTTTGGCTTGCTTAGGGTGCAGACCCTCACCATGCCTACAGGTGGAAGAAATGCACTCTGAGCTGCCACTGCCAGCACCATCCCCCCCTTTGGCATAAATTCCCTGCAAGTTTTAATCTGTGAGCCACAAAAGAAAAGGAAAAATCAAACCACATCTCCAACAGCCATCACTGAAAAAAAAAAAAAAAAAAAGATTGCTCTCTATAAGGCAGTCCTGGTGACATTCACAACTGGACTGCAGCAAACACAAGACCTGAGGCCACCCCTCTGCAGCGCTCAAGCATCCCATGGTTGGGAACTCTCTCAGAGCTCCCTGCTACCCACACATGCCCCCAGAACAATGCAGCCCCTCCGACCTCCCCTGCACATCAAGCACCAGCAAGGAGCAAAGCACAGACCTGTTGGAGCGGCTCTCCGGGAGGCAGTTTGGATCCTGCTACATTCTCAGACGTTGGGGAAGGAGCCCCAGTGCCTCGCTGCGCGTCGGCGTGTTTGGAGAGATCTCAACAGAGAGAGCTCAGTCCCAGAGTCAGTGCAGTTAAGGGAGGGGAGGGAGGGAGGAAGGAAGGGGGGAGAGGGACAGAGATTCCCCCACCTCCCTTCTGCACCGTGCAGCAGAGCGGTGGCCCGGACACGTGGCTCAATAAAGCATGCAAGGAAAGCACGAGCCCGTGTCTGTAAATCTCAATGAATGGCGTGGAGTGCTCGTGTTATCTCACTGCTAAACCTCCATCTAGGAAGCTGCCTGCTGATTTCCTAGAGCGCAGCAAGAAGCTGTGCCTCCCACCCTCTGTCATGCTCCCAGGAATGAACTCAGTCCAGCCACATTCACATCCCATTAAGTATTTCTGAGAGCCCAGCGCTCATGCTGAAGGCCAATTGTGCTGCGTTTGGATAGGGGAATTAAGCACATCTGGAGGCTCTGCGAGGCCAGGAGCTGATTCATGAGCTGGAGAGCAAGCAGTGCCTGCAGCCCTGACCTTTGGCTGCACAACCCTGAAGAGCCAAGCCTTCATCCAAAAACTTTTGTCTTCACTGCCACAAACGGTGGTGTTTCTCCTCCCTGCTGCAGACTGGATTTGCAGGTAGATCTCTGGTGATTGCTGGCATTGGCCTTGCATGGCAACAGTGAGCTTCAGGAAATGTGCACTGCTCACTCTCCAGGAAACGGGCATCTTTGGAAGTGTTGGAAGGAAGAAAATCAAAGTTTCTAAATATTTTGCAAAATAAACAAGCATTTAGTACTTCACTGAAGATTTTCTTTATAATCTAGTAAAAGCTTTAAAGCATCGGAATACACAAAGAGCAAGATGAAAATAAAACACTTAAATCTTGTTAAAATGAAGCATTGTGCACCGGGGGAGACAGAATTGGCACTGCCCTGCATTTCAATACCACAAACTGCTTCTCCTGTAGTGCCCACTGGAGTTCAACAGCTGCTCAGATTTGCAGCAGTTTACTGCAAAACAAGGTGAGAAAGGAAAGAGCACGAATCTCCTATGCTTCATTCACTTTCTAGGAAATTCAAAGCCAGAGCCACAGCTCGTGCTCTATTTATGACAGAAAAATAATGAGAGCCTGTTCCAGTGCTTATGCTTGTGTAGATCAGAAGGCTGTCTGCTTTCACTTAGAGCCTGGAAAGACCCCAGTGGGTTATCAGTGCAAACATCTTGCTTGGACCGTGCTCTAGGAAGTCTATGCTCCAGCAGTGCTACCCCTCTGCACCAGCATGAGAGAAGCACATCTCTCTCCATACCATGAAGAAATAAGGCAGCCAGCTGCACTGCAGTGCCTCACACCAGCTTGGCACCACGTCTTCCAGGGAAGTCAGCAAACGTTTTGAGGCAAATCAAAGTGACCAGAGGGTCAAAGTGATGAGCAGGGTGTGCTGCGAAATGGAGAGCAATAAACCTCCCCACATTCTTGTTATTATCTATATTCAAGCTTATTTTCAAAGTAGGCTGCATATGAGTGTCCCACACTACCTGCAAGTGAAGCCAAGGCTGTGACTGTGACCCTCAGAGCCTGTCCCAGTGCTATCCAGACTCTCGTGCCCCAGTCTGTGCATGGAATCATGGTTACCCCATCCCAGCAACAGAACTCTCACTTGCTGTTGCTTAACTTAATGTGGTTGGTGGCTGCCAGCCCTCTAATTTGTCAAGATCTCTCTGCAAGGCCTCTCTGCACTCAAGGGCATCAACAGCTCCTCCCTGTTGCCTGCAAACTTATTTAGTATACCTTCAAGTCTTGTATCCAAGACATTGATGAAAACATTAGAGATGACACTGGTTAATTAATTTAAGCATTATTTGAAACTGGAGGCACAAGAAGAGCTACCATAGAAGTCTTACCTTTCAAGAAACCCAGCTGGGAAGAGTAACAGCCCAAAGAGTATCAGGGCCCTATGGCTTTCTTTACAAGGAAGCATATACATCACACACAGCTTATGGAGCCATCTGGGAAGCTCACTGAGCTCGTGGTAGACTGCACAGACAGCTCAGGGGAGCTCAGACATGCTCACTTGCTTGGTATCAAACTTCTTGCTGCTCAGCAGCTTGCACCACCTGTCCTGCAGCCTGGCAGGGTGGCTGACTTGATCCAAGACTTGGTTTCATCAAGTACTGAACTCTCCCACCAGCATTAGAAAGGAGGTGGTGAGAACTCAAGGTCAGCTAGAGGCAAAGATTTCAACATCATCAAAATCCAAGACTCGCCCATTAGAACATGTTTATTTGAAAATATGTTTAAATGCCTAACATTTCAGAGTGAAAGGTTGAGCTTGGTCCCTGCCCACAGTCCATCCCTACTTTGCAGTGCCCTGCTCCTCCATTCAGTGGTGAGATAAGGCTCCTCCATTCATTCAATGGCTTCCATGATTTCCATGACAAGAGTCCGTGGTCCGGTCATGATGAGGCTGCTGATGGTCTGATAGTCCAGATGTAAAACATACATGCCATTCACTGAGAAAACAAATTGGCACACCTGCAGGGAGAGGAAGGGCTGGTTACATTCAGCTGATGCCTTCACAGCAATTTCTGCTCAGGGCTGACTGCAGCCAGAGGCTGCACTGCCAATAACTGCAAAACCCTGCAAAGCCCAAAGCATCACCACTCTATAAGCTCTACTAATAATCACTGTGCTATAATCACTGTATCATAAAAAAGAGACCAAAGGGATTTAGACTGAGCTAATAGAGAGAGAAGATACTCATTTATGAGCAGTGGTTCATTTCACAGATGGAAATGAGGCACAATAATAACATTTAGCAATTTGGTAGCAAATTAGATTAGGTGAGGAGAAACAAACTAGGCTCTGGAGCAAATGAAATGAACTCACACATCTCCTTCCAACCCTGCCTGAAGCAAAAGAGTCACACTCCGCCTCTGAAGAACCCCATTATTTCAAATATCCACGTGGCTGCAGGGTTGTGTCAGCTTGTGGAAATTGCTCACTCACTGCTCTTCTTCTTACAGTGTAACCGAAACTCCATTTCTTTCATTCACTCCTAAATCCAGGCTTGCAGCTCTACACACAAAACCCATTCACGCTTAGATGGTGGGTCTAAAGTGATGTTCAAGACCTTCCTTCCTCATACCTGAGCCAGGAATATTGGACACTACCTGGGGAGCCAAATCAAGGCATCAGTCTGAAGTTATTCTGATCTCAGGCACATGGGAAAGAGCTCTGTGCAGAACATGTTGTTAACAGCAGACAAACACAACCAGAGCTCTGTATGATTCCACCTCTGCTGCAGGAGGTGGGATTACCATGGGGGATGTGTTCAGCCTGAAAGGCTCCAACAGGGCACAAATCCTGCCCCGTGTCACTGTGAGCAGAGTACCTTCATGCCCGCAGCAGCAGCAGGTCCTCCTGGGTCCACAGCCTGGATGTGGCATGGTCTGCCTCCTCGGACCACAAAGCCCCAGCCCACAGCATCCCCCACGATCTGCAAGCAGAACAAGAGGACTTAGAACAAAGGAATGGGCTGGATAGAGGGGATGCTGCAATTCCTACTAATGCACGATCTGCTTGAAGTCCTAATTTCCACCTAGGGTGGGAGAGAAGACAAAGAGACCTTCTCTCTTTGTTTCCAGTTGCATTAGCAATAGTTGTCATTGCTTTGTGGTTTTCTCAGTCTGTCGGATAAAATGAGAGCATCCTTGGGCACCAGGAAACTTTCCATATCAGTTAAACACTTCTGCCACCTCCATGCATGACAGTTGGGGACTAATTGCTCTTGCAAATATTGGTTTCAAGGGCAGTCTTTCTTTCTCTCTCTAATCTTGGAGGTTTTTTTCATTCACCTGTGCCAGCGTCTCTCACAGTATCCTTGGCAATGACACATCCCTTCTGTTTTCCCCATTTCCTCCTCATGCTCAGCCATGGGTAAAGATTGACTTCATTTTTACACTCCGTGTTTGTGGAAGGTTTTTGAACACGTATCACCTGAAAACTCAGCACATGGAGGTCTTGGCCCTCCTGGGCTGTTCATTTCTCTTACGCCAACATGAAGTTCAGTGCAGGGTGTGCACCAAGAGCACACCAAGCATTTCCAAAACACAGGGACACTGTGCCTTAATGCAAAATTTGCAGGATGGGAGCAGCCACTCCTGACCTTTCCCATTCTGATCTCAGCTTGTCAAAGCAGTTTGCCCTAACACTGCAGCCATATGACGTGACTAAAGGAGAAAAGGAATTCTCAAAGGACTTTGCACATTAGCCATATAAATAAATAACAGCAAGTGCACAGCGAAGCAGAATGCAATGAGCCATGAAAGGCCCCAGCTGGCAGAGTTGAAGGGCAGGGCAAGAGCGTTCAGGAGAACGAGTGGCACATCTTCATGCCAGCCACACCAACCAGCTGCTTTCTTTTCCTCATTCTTTCCCTCCAATTTCTGCAGCACAGTTAACTTGGGGATCAGATCCAAACCCACCTGAGTCAAACCAGCATAAAGAGAGAGTCAGAAATAGCCAAGCACAACAGGATCCTCAGGGCAAGAACTGTCCTGTGACATTCACAGCCCCCAGCCCAAGCAGGGCTGCCTTAATGTGGTCCTACAGCTCTAGAAATAATGTGAAAAGCAAAAGCCCCAAACAAGTGGCTTATTTTATTCATGACAGAAAGCCCATCATAATAAAAGAAGAGCAGCCCTTGGATGTTCCCTCTTCAATTCTACTCCATCAGAAGCCGACAGAGCATATTAATATATCTTCTCTGCAACAGGAAATCAGAAGCTGAATAAAGCAGTGCAAAGGTGACATCTCTGTGACACACAGGATGAGTGTCAAAGTCCCAGCTGCCACAAGACCTGATTGAATCTAAAGTTTGTGTGGAGCTGGTGATACAAAAATTGGATTTCTCCTGTCCAGGAAACATTTTCTTTCCTGGATATCCCTCTGATATATATTACATTAAAGCAGAGGCCACAGCGGTCACCGCTGCTTTCAGCAACAAGGACACGTGAAGACATCGACCTGCTGAGACACACCATGAAGGAGCTGGGATGAGGTGACATGCAATCAAAGTTTCAATGCTGAGAGGTCAGAGCAGCAAAATGTGATCAAAGCAGAAAGTGATCAAAGAGAGCTCAGTGCCATCAGAGCAGTGACACCGCTCATGATGGTCACTTACAGTTAGCATCTTCTTGACGTAGGGGGCCCCAGGGGACAGGAGCTCTTCATTGGTGACGGGTCTCTTTAACACTAGGGCAGAAGGTGACAGATCAAATCAGAATTGAGGGTTTCATACACTAAAGCACATAATAAGACAGCTCACGCCCAAGGGAAAAGATGTTTCCTGTGTAGAAAAAGGACAGTGCAGGAGCCCAGACCTGATTTGGGGTTGCACTCAGCCACAGGAGGGAAAACCAGAGTGGGAGTAATGCTGAAGTAGGGGTTGGAGTTTCCAGCGAGGGAAGTGATGCTGCTCCTCCGAACTGCTGAGACAACTTTGATCTCCTTGTTGGGCTGGACTGCAAAAACCAGAAGTAACAGTTATCCAGGGAAGGAACAGTTTAATAAACTTCCCACAGCAGCCTGACCCACATGTAAAGGATGTGCATGTACCAAATACAGCATTTGAGTTTAGGCAGAATAAAACTAGCCTTACAGAAGGACCAAGAGCAGAGCTAATGAGTTGTTTCCTAGAATGGGGAACTGTGACAGAGACTGCCACTGCACCATGATGTCCACCAGCAGACAGGACATGTGGCTGCTTCATAAGATGTCTGGAGGAGCACCCTATGGGGTATGCTGGAGCTACACCTCAGCCCTGAGATGCTCTGGCATCATAAGGCTCGGTTTCGCACCCTTCAAATACACAGAGACGGTTACCAGAGAGAAAGCTGGTGTTGCCTGGCTCTGGGTTGAGCTTGCGGAGGCAGAAGGGGCTGTCGGGGCTCTCAGACAGAGCACGGGAGGAATTCTCACTGAGCAGCTCGGTGAGACGCCGCCGCCGTCGGAAGTTGATCCAGAACTGGTAGAGAATGTCAGAGTCCAGGAAGTGGTGCCTGTTGGAGACTGGAGAGGACAAGGAAGGAAGGAGAGGCTGAGGGAGTGTGAAAGATGTGTAGCAAACATACCAAGCTATCTGCATGAATTGCTTTTAATGCTTCTGCATTGTATTTTAGGGCTTTTTTTTTCTGTTGGAGAATGCTTTGTGCAAAGAAGGAAGAACAGCAGGGCCACCTCCCCAGGAGATGCCATCTCCCATCAGTACACCACCGAGCCCCAGGAGCTCAGAGGGCTCCCTGCATCACAGATGGAAAGCTGGGAAAGTAGGTGGGTGTGACCTGCAGCCCTGCTGAGCTCTGCACGCTCACAACCAGCCCTGGAAACTCAGGGTGGGGCTCAGCCCTGCAGCCCAGGTCTTTGAAGGACCGCAGAGCAGCAGCTCAAATTGCAGCTCAAAGCCTCTGTGGGCAGCAGATTGCTCTGGCTTCAAAGGTCACCGGCTCCAAACATAGCACTAAAAGGCCCCGTTGCTATCTCTAAGTGGGCACTTGACCAGCACTTGTTGCATGCCGTGAATGGGGATTTGTTCTTGGCATGACAGCTATGCTCATCGCTCACTTCCCTTCCTCTCACCGTGCTGAATGATCCCGTGCTCCAGCAGCGCCTGGCCCAGCTCCACCGCTTCCCTCCGGCTCTCTGCTTCTCCCTCCTGCACCAGCCACTCCACCATCTCGCTGCCCAGGAACGCCCGCTGGTACTTCACCGAGTTCTCCTCCCTCACCTTCAGGATGGAGCCCTCCACGCTCACCAGCCTGGCAGAGGTGGGACAAGCGCCCGTGATGCCACGCAGCCCGAAGCAAGGATGAGAAGAGTGGGCAAAGCCAAATCATCGCTGCCTGCGAGCGGTGGGAAGGGAGGGCGAAAGGCACAGCTGCATTTACAGGTTTGTAAATCTTCATCCCAGCAGTGGGAGCAGATGCAGAGGAATCAGTTCGGCTGCAACCTCAGCTAAAGGCTACAGTGGAAAGCTAAGCAAGCAACCGAATGCGTGCCCAAATAACAGCTGGTCCAGATGGATGGGGAAGGTGTGCTGTGATAAGCCCATGTTCATTCTGTGGCGTGGCGGAGCTGAACGCAGTGCCTCCACGAGAGGGTGCAGCAGCCTCAGCTGTAAGAATCTCGATGCTCTCCCATCCACTGCTGAGCAAAAGCAAAGTGAAAGCAATGCAGAGGGCACGGGGAAGTAGAAATCATGCCTGTATGAAGGACAGAAATCACACCTGTCCGAAGGACATCCCTGTGTATCCCTGGAGGTGTTCAAGGCCACGATGGATGGGGCACTGGGCAGCCTGAGCTGCTGTCCGATTTGGTGGCTGGCCCACAGCAGGGGGTTGGAACTGAATGATCTTTGGGGTCCCTTTCAGCCCAGCCATCTATGGCTCGGGATCACAGAGCAGAAAGGCCATGCTGGCCCTGTACCTGCTGGTTTTGCTGGGACACAAGTCCTAGCAGAGCTGATGCGTGTGGCTGATGACCCCACTCACCACTGCTACTCTATGAGGAAAGAAAAAGCTCTAAGGATGTTAAATTGGTTCCCAAAGTTTTCGGGCCAATCAACTTCTCACTGCTGTAGAGTGGAGAGGCAGGACACCACATGCCACAACCATCAGCACTTGATCTGAAGCACAGTGTTAGGTGACACTGTGCTTGTGGAGTAACTTTGAGTTAGTAAGCTTGCTGGGGGTCTGTGGGAGTGCTCCACAGATGGGCCTGGAAGGGGAGCAGGTATGGAGAAAGTGCATCAAAGCACGCATCAGTTCAGAGCCCAGCTCCTCTCCAGGAATGAGCGTTTCCCAGGGCTGCAGCATACAGAATAGAAAGAGACGAGGTTGCCGTGGTTCCAGCCATGAAGCAGCACAGCGAGCACAGCTGGCAGACCCGAGGCCTTGGGAAGGGACTCACGCACTTCTCGTAAAGGCTCTGTCCTCGCATGAACACCTTCACATCCTTGCTGAGGGGGAAGGTCCCGTCGTCCTTGCGGAAGCGGTACAGCAGCTTGGCGTCCTTGTAGTCCGAGTGCTCATCACAAACTGGAAGGAGGAGAGCAGGAGGTCAGTGTATGTGGGACAGACAGACAGCAGCACTGCACACAGGCTCAGCAGTGCGTTATCCTTAGGTTCTGCTATGGGAAACGTGCTGTGTCCCTTTCTGTGCCTCTTGGACGATGCTGCTGAGCCAGCATCTGAGCCTTCTGTTCCCATATCAGACCTGCGCAGCTTCTGGGAGAGGTCAGCCCTATGGGAAAGCCCTTGGGACAGCTTGACTTCAAGTTTACACTCTGACCCGGTTGCTAAATTGCTTCATTAGAATGGGAATTTTGTCATGTGTAAGCAAACTTGGAGGAGAGGTAAAACAACCCGACATCACTGCCTCCAAAACTCCACCAAATCATCTCCATCCCTGCCAAAAATACTTTTGAATTACAATGTGTAATGACATAAAGAGAAACTTTTCCCTACCATTTTGTGCCAATTCACTTGTATGGCAAGCAGACCTCAAGAGAGTTTTTTTCCTGCAGCTAGGTGCATACAACTGGGATAAAGAACCCCAGCTTGCTATTTACCTTGGGGATGAGAGTGGTCTATAAAGGCATGGTTATTAATACCTGCAACATTCAGCAGGAAAATACTGGGGATGCTGTTTTGAGATAAACTTGGCTGGAAGAGATGACTGTACAACAACCTGACTGAAATCAAATAAAAATAAAACAAAATATTATGGCGCAGTTTTCAAATATGATTTGCCTTGCAAATATGATTTGAATAAAATTCAAAAGACATAAGATATTTCTTTTTTAGAACTTTACCATTTGTTCTTCTGAGCAATGTTTCATTCTCCTTTTGGTAACAAGCTCAAGGCTAAAACTTGTCAGAGCATCTTGAGTTCAGAACTCCTCCTGAGCAGTTGTGTTGGTGGGAAACCAGGGCACCAAAGCCTGAGACTCACCAGTCAGAAGGCAGGGTGAGGTGGTTGTTTTAGAAGAGAAAGCTTGGATCCTCTTAACTGAAAGGAGCAGTGATTCAGATAGCACTGCATGTGGTGATAGTTAGGAAATAAGCACACAGCCTTGACAGACAGCACCCATAAGAATCACACAGAATCATAGAATCATAGTTAAAAAGGCCTGGGTTAAAAAAGACCACAATGATCATCTCATTTCAACCCCCTGCTATGTGCAGGGTCACCAAACACCAGACCAGGCTGCCCAGAGCCACATCCAGCCTGGCCTTGACATGGGACACCCACAGCCTCCTTGGGCAACCTGTTCCAGTGCCTCACCACCCTCTGAGTGAAAACATTTTACTACATGGAGACCAATTTCAATGCATTTCCAGCATGTAGTTGAGCAGCAGCTCAAAGCACATCAGCCTCTTAAAGGCAGCACAGAGCATCTGCATGGAATAATTATGGTCTTTCTGGATCCCAGTGGAGAGGAAGGCAAACAGTACAGGCAGCCAACTGCAAGGCATTTAGCAGACAGTCCCGTTTCCATAGGACCAACAACAACTAATGGTCCCACAGCAAGCTGGAAAACCTGCTTGTGTGTTCTGTAGGAGCAGGAGGGACGTGCCCATGATAAGCAATCAAACCAGCTTTGGCAGCCACGTCCGCACAGGCTTAACCAACTAATGGGCTTGTTGGAAATTGTTGGCTGGAGAGATGGAAAAATAATCAGTCTGAAGTGTTAATGGTTAACAGAGAACTCGCTACTTCAGTGCTATGCTTTTGTGATAAATCACAGCAGCAGAGCTGATTTTGATTCAGAGCAGCTTAATGCAAAGGGCATAAAACCCAGCAAGGAGCAGACGGCAACAGAGCGCACTGCAATGGTTGGAGGCAGCTTGTGCTGATCGCTGCAGAAGAAGAGAGGACAGAATTCTGTGACTGTCACCTGCTTCTGTCTCCTTGGCTCCAACCAGATGGTCACCATATCCCAAAGACCTGTGTTCAGGTTTGCAAGAGATAGCAGCCAAGGGTGGCAGCTCAGCCCCCAGAACTGCCCACCAAGGGCAATGTAAAAACACTATTTTATTCTTTTGGTGCCAAAAGAAAAACCTAAAAATCAAAACCAAAAACATTTTGGCCCGAAGCCCTAAGATCTCTTTGGAAAACCTTATTTAAGATGTATCTGAAGAAATCTTCACTGCAACTGAAAGCATTTTCATTAAATCACCTCTGCCCTTGCTTGTCCAAGCAGAAGATGCACTGCCAAAGGCAGGGACAGGACAGAGGGAAGCAGCCCCAGCTGTGGCTGAACATCTTCCCGAGTGCTTGGCTGAAGGCTGAATATGGAGCCCAGCTGCAAGGATGTGCCTCTGCTAGGCACAAGCAGTGACTAGACCAGCGGTCATCCCCTGGGGATGCACAGAGAACGTCACACACCATGGTGGATGATGTAGTGGTCCATCAGCTTCTGCATCAGGCGGATGCCCGTCTCTCGATCTGGGGCTTCCTTGTGGTCAATCAACCAGTCCGTGAGCTCCTTCGCCACGAAGCAGTTGGGGTAAGTTCGGAGGTGGTAACGCCTGTCCTTAATGAGCTTCCCATCATGCAGGCGAAGCCTAGAGAGAGAAATGGGCACAGAGCACAGCTGGCATGGCGTGAACATCTCAATTCAATAGCCCAGCCCAGCCTGGAGAATCTATCGATGGGTTGGGACTCCTGGAAAGCACCCAGTGACTTAAAAATTGTGTGTAACCTCTTCACTTTTACAAACTGCATCAATCCATCCCCAGGAGCCTCTTTTCAGCATCTCCTCTTCTCCCACTCCTATTTTGTGCACTTTGTAATCGTCTGAACCAGACTCACTTTGAGCCATGCATGACTTTGTGCTCTAAATAAGCCTCTAAAAGGTATACAGCAACTAACCAAAACTACAGGAAATAATAACTGTACATGTTTCTGTCATCTTGCATGGCTCTGTGCCTAGTTTTCCTTCCCCATGGCTGTGGAAGCAGGAACATCACTGCCTCCAGGACAAGGGCTGGATGAGAGCACTTCCAACAAGGACAAATGCCAGGCAAATCTGAGCTCTCCTGTGTTCCTGTACACACTCACCCACAGCACACGTGAGCACACCGATCCAAATCACACACATTAGTTCTAGCTCACCCAGACACAGCACTGCCTTCAATCCATCAGCAGTCCTGGCATTTTCTGGTTCAAACTGGGACAGACTGGGGTAGAGTTGGGCAGAACTACAAGTGTCCTGTCCTGAGCACCTTGATGTTATGACTTCGTCTGCAGCTCTGATGGAAAGATACATAGGAAGGAAGGCTGCTCAGGTGGGTACGGCTTTGGCTTTTCAAAGGACTTTTTACAGCCAATGAAGCCACAGAGCACAGAGAACTTCTGTGTCCTGGCCAAAGCCGACGCAGCCTGGCAGGACACCTGACCAGGAAACAAACTCCTGCCCTGTAGTCTTTGCTGTTCCCAGAACACCAACCTTGGAAAGCGCACAGTGCATACAGCAGACTCAGAGAGATGTTAAATTAATATCTTCTCTGTAACTCCAGGACATTTCTGCTTTTCAGTTATTCATTTCAGCTCACAGTTTTGCCCCAGGCTGGTTTGTTTTACAAAGGCATTAATCACAGCAGCGTTTCTTTAATTCCTCAACTCCTTTTGTTCTTTTTGAAGAAGTTCTGTGTACAGCACAGCAAATGTGGTGTTGCCTGTTGGACAATAGCTTTAGGTACCGTACAAGAAACAATAAACCTACTGACATCTATTGGATAATAATGGATTATCTTCCAATATAGGATTAATTAGGGTCTCAAAAGTGATAAGATAAAACCTCTGTGGAATGAAAACGTAGTAAGTGATGGCTGCAATTAGTGCTTGGGTTACTTCAGGCCAACACGGTTCTTAACAGGTATAGGTCCAGACCTTTCTGATAACCCCCAAAGAAACACAGCAGGATGTGACAAAGCAGAGATACAAAGAAAGCAATGCAAATGATGAAAGCCAACGTGCCATGCAGAGCCAGTCCTGATTCCACCTTGACTGGCCTTCTTCAAACACTGAGCTCTGCATCAGCATTTTACTCTCCTTACCAGGAAGATTCATTCCACAAGTAACCAACAGATTCTCTGCGTATTGATTTTACCTGAAGAGAGCAGCTTATCCTACCACAGACAGTTGCCTGCTATTTTTACAACGTTGAGCTCTTTTTCCTTCCATTATTTTACCGTGCACCCTCCAATGCAATCACACGTGGACAGCAGCCACCACAAGCAGAGAGGCTCCTTCTCCCCACCCAGACAGCATCCCCCAGTGCCAGAAGTGACGAGCAGGCTTTTCTGATATGCTTTATTTCCTTAGGAACCAACAAGTGGGATGCCACTCTAGAGAAATGTTTGTTGGAGATAGGAGCTGTTTAAGCAAGAGCCATCCATTGCTGTTAAGAGTTTGCAGAAGTCTACAAGGACCACATGTGTATATATTTATACACACACACACATCTTGACACTTAATGACACAGACCATAATCACACGAGGCAGTCTAAAGCAATCTATCACCATGTTGGGACAACAAAGCCAGAGAAATGATTACTGTTTCATAACCACACTTCAAAATAATAAAGAAAAAAGGTAGGGAAGAGTGTGTAATGCAATATTACGACTCTCCTACATGCCAAAACCTTTCCCGTGTACATATTGCTAATTCAAAAGGACAAAAAAATAAGATGAAATGCTTGCTGGAACACAACAATCAGCTGTTGTGAAACACTCCTCATCTGGCACACCGGCTCTCTGCTAGCACATGCTCTTGCTTTGGATGGGCTGCATTGGGGAACCAACTTGTTTCTGTGTCAAGGTCACTAAGAAGACACCTTCATTCATCTCATTCATCCTGCTTAACCTTGCTGAAAGGCAACAGCTTCCCCTTCTTGGAAAAGGAGCTGGGTTTCCTGCATGGCAGCTGGACAGCTGGACCTTGGAGCTTCCCGTAATGGTGGAGCTCTCAAGGATGTGAACACAAGGCTGCATTCCCACAGTGATTAAATACAAATGAATGACCCTGAAGGTACATCACCCAAATGATCTTTTCCTATCTTTAGAGGAAGATGAAAAATCATAAAGCTGAGTGCTCAGTAAATGGAAGCAACAGTCACAAAAGCACCCGTGCTGAATAGCTGCTGGGGATGAACACTGATACAAAACAAGTGCTGCAAAACTCAGCTCGCTGCTCTCCCATGTCTACAAGAGCACAAAGGCCTTAGGAAGGGGAAAGCCCTGGATGCACAAGACAGCCCACCCAAAGCAATGCGAGATGCAGTCTTATTTTTCCTTTTCTATTTAAAAGCACAAATAGGAAAACAGGACTTAAATCTCAAAAAGCAGTTCCAGCAAGAACAGCTGTACATTCCAGCCTTCTCTTTCACCAGTGCTAAACAACGGAGCAGTAGGCTTCCTAAGATCATTCTGATCACGTAGTGTGATCTGAACATCAGCCCAGAGAAGTTCCCCAGGGACCACCACACAATTCCAGAGGTACAAACCAGGACACATTCAGCCCTGCACCTCAAAGCAAGCCCAATGCATCAAAATCTTCACACCCTGCTTAACAGCCTTACAATCTGAGCATCCAAATAAAAGCACTCACCTGGACAGCACCTGAAAGCACAGTTCTGTTCTTTGTTGGAGAAAACCTTCCTTCTCTCCCTTCTTTTTGCCCAGGACATGAGTTTACTGAGAATATTTCCTTTCTCAGAGTGATTAATGCAGCTTAGCAGAGTTAGTGGCGAACATCTGGTTCACCTGACAGTAATGAATCCCCAAACTGCACCCAAGGACCTGTCTGTACTTGAAAAAGCCAGGTTACAGAGGAGCTTCTCAAAGAGAAGTAGCTGCTCCGAAACACTTCTGTGCAGATCACATTGTTGCAATTAGAAGTGAGTACCTGGGCGCCTCTTACAGAATGCCACCCAGGAACACTCAACAACTCAGTAAAACTGGGGCGACTTTCACACCAGATTTTACAACTGAAACATAAAGACTGACAGCAGAAGATGCAAGGAATGCCTGACACAGCAGCCCTGCAAACACAGCAGTGACTGCCGTGGAAATTAATATTCCATCTTTCTGGGGAGAGGTTTGAGACCTAAACTCCTCTCCCACTCATTTCTTTGGGATGTGTTTTTTCCTTGCCATCCGCAAGAAGCATTTCCTCACCCCTCACTTGCGCAGCTATTTCTGGCTGGGAAATGAGTCCTGACACTGAACAGACTTCATTCTGCAGCCAAAACAAACCGAGAGGGATTTGCAAACTTGCTGGCAAGCCAAAGAACCATAAAGACAGAGCAAAGGTTTGTTTGGCTGGATACAATAGCAAGGAGGAGGCAGGGCAGGAAGCAGAGAACAGGGAAAACAAATGGTTGAGATTTTCTGTAGATGCAAGAGCTGATCAAGGCCTCCTGAGTGTGTGTGGGAGGTTACAAAGCTGTCTTACACAGCACCTTGATTCCTTCTCCTTGGGCAAGCAGAGAAGCACAGTGCATTTAGTTCTGCTCAGTCCTTCCCTCAGACAAGGTCATCCAGCTCCCTGCCTCAGTTTCCCCATCACTACTGACCCAACCGACCTTGGGAAGATTCACATCACTGCCTCCACTCTAACTGCCAGGCTGAAGAGTCCCCCAAGCACAGGCAAAGGACTGAAGCACTCAGCGCAGTGCTCAGCCATCCCTCATTCTCCTTTCAGTTAGCCAAGCTTGGCAGAATCCAGCTCTCCACTTTCCTCCCCAGCAGCAATTTGCAGCCTCTCTGTGCAGAGAATAAGCTCCCACCCCAACCCAAAGCAGAAGGATGCAGCTGCTTCGTGCCATACCATGAGCAAACTATTGCATGCCTCCATCTCTGAGCACTCCAGCACTTTTTGCTGACATTTCACCTATCACCTGCAAAGCACAAGTGAAGAGCAATGCAGCTGTGCTGGATAAAGACAACCTGCTTCTCTTTAACATGGAGCAGGAGTGCTTGGAGAGAGCAGCTCTGGGGCATGAAGCAGCTGAGGCAGCCCAGCTCTGCTCCTCACAGCACTGTGTTTGCAAAACAGCACGAGTTTGCCAGCACTGTGCTCCTGGGTGCAGCTCCAGCTCTTCACTGAAGGCCACATCATTGCCCTTGCACACTCATTCTTTGCAATTTTAACACACAGCTCAGTTATTTTACTTTCTCTCTGCATATGTAGCCCCCTTTTTTTGGCTATAGAACCCATTTTAAACCTCAGTCACCCTGGATGAGTACAGCATTGAAAATATGAATGTGAATACACCTGCCCTGCCCATGGCATGGAAAAGGCCATAACTTTGTGTCTCTTGCACTGAGTTATTGAAACAAAGCAACCCACCCTTAAATCTGATGCTGCTCTTCCCTGTAAGAAAGTTAAGCTCAATGTTTAAGCCTCATTTGCAACGTGAATTGTGAATGGTGTGAAGGTCTGATGCAGCCCATCCCTGGCAGCAGCTCTCTCCCACTCACTACCCATTTAATTTCTGGAGCCAGGAGAGCAACAATTTGGAAAGACAGCAGAGATGGGGCTGACCACAACAGCACTATTAAATTCCAGCCACCTTGGCCATGGGCTGTGTATTCAATATGCAGCTTTAATGTTTAGCTGGAAATTATCAGTCCTTGATATGGTGCAGATAAATGAAGCTGAGGTTGACGTGACTCACTGAGGCTGGACAACATAATGAACAGAGCTAACTTTGGGAATCTGGTGCTAGCAAACATGGGCTCTGGGCTCTTTATGTTACTCAAGGATGTATTTTCTAGTTCCCACCCACATTTCATAATACAACAGAATGGCTCGAGATACAAACAAGCAAACTGCTCAAGAGCTGGAAAAGCCTTCAGGCAAGCACTTGAAAGCAGTTCTGGTATTGTGACCCCATCCACACAAGGAACACGTTCTCAGACACACCAGTTTTGTTGCGCAGCAGGGTGCATTTCTGCCTTCATAAGAAGAAAGCTTAGAAGTAGTTTGAGAACCAGGACCATAAAACAGCAGAAGTGCCCAAAGGTAGCTTTCAAAACAAAAACCCTTTGTGTTGCCTTGCTTCAGGCACGTGGCATCCAAGGGACAACTCTGCAGGGCGGTCCCCATCCCTGCTCCAGGCTCTGGGTTTGGGGCACCTTGAGGAAGTTCTTGCTCAAGGACCAAGCTTTGAAGCCGTGTTAGTGCAGAGCCCGGGCTCAACCCTACCTCAGCTGTTCTCCGGCGATCATCACCTCCGCTCGGTGGTGCTGCTCCGTCGCTCTCTTCTTCAGCGCTCCGCTCAGCGGCTCCATGCCGGGCTGCGGGCGGCTGCGGGCCGGGAGCACCGCGCAGCCCATGGGGTGCGGGTTAGGAGGGGGGGGTTGTGCCCGCGGTGCGGCAGCCGGGATGGATATGGGGAGGATGCCGGGTCCCGCTCCCCGCCCCTCCGAAGCCGGAGGAGGAGCGTTGCAGCAATCCGGTTTGCTGCTGCCCCGCGGTGCGGCTGGCACGGAGCTCTGCCGGCTGCGCGCTTCGGTTTGCGGCAGGACGGACAAAGCCGAGCATCAGCAGCAGTCCTTTCTTTGAGCTGCACCTTTCCTTTATTTGGTTCCAGATGGAGCATTCCCCAGCATAACTCACACCACACACCGGGATCTGGCTCCCAGCCCCTTCTCTAGGTTTTTTCTTCTCACCTGATGGAAAATGGGCTCTGAGCAGTTGGGCTCCTTCTTCTTTGTAGCAACCAACATAGGGGTTTGGTGGGAGACCTGAACCCAGGCCTGGGGCCCTGAGCACGAGAAGGATGCATTTCTGCTGGAGCAGGGCCAGAGGAGGGCACGGGGATGCTCAGAGGGCTGCAGCAGCTCTGCTATGAAGGCAGGCTGAGAGCCAGGGGTGTTCAGCTGGGAGAAGGCTCCAGGAAGAGCCTGTGACCTTTCAATATTCAAAAGGAGCTTATAAGCAGGAGGAGAGCAACTTTTTACACGGGCAGATAGTGATAATGCAAGGTGGAATGGCTGAGAAGTCTTTAAGGTCGCTTCCAATCCAACCATTCTGTGATTCTATGAATAGAAGAGCTGGCACTGAGCAATCTGGGACTGTACCAAGGCCAAGCTGTTTGTCTGTGTGATGCTCCTGGCTTTGGCCATTACATCTGTCCCAGGCACTCATTCCTGCCTCGGCTTCCACAGCCATTTCCATTACCTGAGATTTTTCCTCTGCTTATCTTGCAGTGATAGCAACAAGTAAATAAGCAGAGGAACTGGGATCTGGAAGTGGTTAATTACAGCTATCACTGCCTTTAGTTGCATGTGCAACTCTATTTCCATTAGTGAGATCCAGAGTGCAAGCTGCTGTCTGGGGAAGAGGGCAGAACTCAGAAATGCAAAGGAGAGGGGAAGAGGGAAGGAAATGATATCAGCAAAGGGCATTCCAACTCAAAGCTTAATAAAGCAGCAGTAAACACTGTCCATCTCCCTTTCCTTAACGGCCCACCTGCCTATTGTTTACAGTAGCAAGATGCTCTGTGCCTACAGCATCTTCCTTACCTTTCCTGACCCCTCTCCCAAGAGCAAATCCCTGAGACATCTCCCTTTCGTCATGGAGACCTATGAAGAGACATTTCAGATGATGACACCTGGGCTGCCCCCCAAACAGGTTTTCGTCACCTCACACAATGTCATGTCACACAGCACACCTCCTTCGCTCTGACCAGAATGTGAGCTCTCCACCACCAGCAGCAGTGCTCCTCTGCCAGCTCTGTGTGCACACTGCCCATTTCAGGGAAGGGCCAGGTTGGAAATTAGAAAGCATTTTTTCCTCTGAAAAGCATTGATGCAGTGGCAAAACTGCATGGTGGGACCGCCGTCCCTGGAGGTGTTCCAGAGCCATGGAGATGTGGCACTGAGGGATGTGGTGAGGTGGGGTTGGACTTCGGGATCTTAGAGGTCTTTTCCAACCTCAGTGATTCTGTGATTCTATGATCTCCACCTCCCCAAGCAGACAGAGAGAAAGTGGAAGAAGATGCTTCTGCACATAGAGGTGGGGGCAGAGTGAGGATGGAAGATCTGACATGGGATGCAGGCGCCTCCAGATGTGTTCCCCCAGCTCTGTGCTGACCAAGGAGCAGAACAAGCCCCAGCCACAGCACTCCTGTCCAAGGCAAACAGCAGCATCCAAGGCTGCACCAACAACACTGCTTCTATCCCAGCCCTCCCAGACATCCCCTCTCCCACGTGTGGGGAACACAGGCTGCCCTTGTGTGCCTTGTGCAGGCTCAGCCCACAGCCCAGTGCCACATCAACACACTGCTGCCAGTGAGCAAATAGCCGAGCCTGGAGGAGCAGCTGCTGCCCATGAGCACAGCAGTTCCAATGTCACATCTTTTGATTTCACAGCCCCAGTGGTCACCAACTCAGGTGCTGTTAAACCCCACTGTTTATCCCCACTGACTTTGATTCAGTTTAGCAAAAAGGGGATTCACAGCCAACAGGTCCGACAGGGGCTGAGAGGTCTGGGCAGATGTATCACTTTCTGCTGGTGGAACATGAGCCCACTGGCCAACAGTTTCTTATTAGGCAGTTATAAATCTAAGCTGGAGATTTCATGTCATCAAGTGTCCTTCGTTTGGCTCCAGAAAACAAGTGAGGATATGTTAGGGCAAAAGATAGTGCTATTTTCCAAGGTAAAGACTGCTAACCCCAAGCAGTGAAACTAAAGAAAGGAAAAACAGACTGCTTGGCTTCAAAACAGCCACTGGAGGGATCTTTGTGTCCTTCAACATTTTGAAATTGCAGCTCAGGGCTCTCCAAGAAGTACAAAGAATTGAATCCTACCTTGCTAAAAAGAAAACAAGCACTACAAACCAACCAATAAGCCACCAAAACCAAGAAAGCAATGAAAGGAAACCCAAAATTATCCCACAGTTGCATTGCTTCATGGATCCACAGCCATAATGAGAACATGAAACACCGACAGGTGTAACAAACTGATGAATGGTCTCACTAAAAACAATAAAGCAAAACAAAACCAAAACCCACACAAATTAAAGCAAAGGACGACAGAAAAACCACTCTTACGCAGTGCCACGTGGAACCTGCATCACCTCCACTTCCCCATTCCTCCACCAGCTGCCAGAAGGAACTTTACAACTTCCAATAGCCCTTAACTTTCACCCTGCAGCACCAGGGAATGAGGATTCAGAGCAGGTCTGACAGGTTTGGCTCTGCTGCTCACCTTTGGGTGAGGCTGTCGCTGCTCTGTTAAGCTGAAAGCTGCAGAGCACAGTGGTAGGGACACGAAGCCACGCGGTCCCTCCTTGGGGTCAGAGGAATGCGTGCCACGAAGGCTTAGCACAGCGTGAAAGTGCAAGGTGGGACAGGATGGGAGAGAAGCTAAGCAGAGACACAGCAGAACCAAACATCACCCTGCATTCAGCTGCTCAGCGCTCCCTTACTGCCAGGTTCCTTCCGCAGCCAGGCACGGGGACACAATTCCCTCTAGAGGAAGGAAGGGGAAGTAAGCATCCCTTCGACCTGCGCTGGGCTGTCAGAGCAGCTGAGGCCATTGCCCTTCTGTGATCCATTCTGCACTCCATTGCAAGGTCTGTGCCCAACCCAGAGATGCATCGCCACAAGTGTAGGTCTCCCCTGTGGTTTTAGGTTCAGACTCTATTCTTGCCTGCACTGCGGAGCCTATGTTGAGTTGTGAAGTCCTGGTGAGGAGGACTAAATTTGCCATTCAAGCACAGCGCATTGCAGCTGGGTACAGGGAATTGCTGCAGTCAGCAGGAAATCTGTGAGCAGAGTTAAAGGGGCAAATCTTGCAGGAATGGGACAAGCTTACGTGCAATGAGCACAGGTTGCTGTCAAGAAGTGAATTTCTATTTCAACATCAATCACAACATCCCACATACAGCACGGCACACTAATTGATGTATGTATCAGACATTCATGGTAGGAGTGCAGAAAATACTGCACGCACAAGAGAGTTTGGGTCCATGGAGTCACAACTGAACACTTCACTGGAGGTAACTTTAGCAATCCTGCTGTTATCAAGCAGTGGCACTTCAATCAGAAGTGGACCAATTTTATCTGTATTTTTTCCCTGGAGAGACACATTCCAGCCTTCCCATGTTTCCTGGCAGGAGCTGATTTATTTCTTTACCTGCTGCAATGTTCTGCAGCTTTACCATGGCTGAGCAGCCCTCTGAGGGAGCACGACTTGGCAGTGCTTAAAGGGAAATACAAGGGGGGTTGCAAACTGCAAGGAGCTGATAGCACTGCATTCCCCTGCTCAAGCAGCAGCCACACTGAGATACGTGGTTTGATCCATCACCCAAACAGAGCACCAGTGACTCACTCACAGGAGGTGACTTTTCTTCCCCTGCACTGCTGATGGGATGCAGCCTTTTGCAGAACAGCTGGAGCCAAGCAGACGAGCAATGAGTGTCGGCCTGTGTGTGAGCCAGTGACTTACATATAATGGATAGAGGTGCTGCAGTTAGGTTGGATCTTTAGGTTTTACTGCTTTTGAATGGGACAGCTCAGCCCCACTTCTCCTTATACAAGACTTCTTGTTTCACCCACCAGCACCATCCTGCTCAGAGCAAGTATTGATGCTCTTTGTGGTGTACATTTCTAGGTAACAGGACTCCATATGCTTTCAGAACCCCCCCTGCAGCCAGCACATCCCACTACTCACAGCAATCACAACGGGAAGCTCTGCATCCCACAAGCACAGCACTGCAGCAGGAACAGATGCAGCACATCGCCGGGATGCTGATAGTGCAGCCACTCAACCCACTGCCCATTTTCCTGGGGGAAAGCCAATGCAATTCCTCCCACAAGTCAGCATGATTGGATCCTACTGCCATTTCCATAAAGCTCAGGGCACAAAGCATGCACACACCCCCATGGCTGGCTGTCTAATGGAGGGGACTGGAATCTGAATGTGAAGCACAGCCACCAGCTGAAGGATGAGCCAGGGAAACCTGGCAGTTTGGGAAGACAGACTGTAAGAACTACCTCTTCTCCTGCAGTGTGTTTGTAAGCAAGCTGTTAAAATAGCATCTATAGAAGTACAAATTGCAGTGGTTGCACGTATTTTGCAGCTCACTTTAAAGATGCAAACAATGTTGTTATTAACTATTCCTAACACAACAAGCTCTTAAACTGGTTTTTAAAGTGAGACTATGAAACCCCTACAAAGCACAGAAATGAAGCACCTGCTGTGGTCTCTGACAGCAACACGGGCAGCTTCCTTTGTCCTTCATCACCCACAGCAGAGAATGTGCAGAATACCAACACCATTACACTGCTAGTGTCAGATATTCTCCTCCAAGAAGACATACTGGCATTGACACAGTACTTTGCTTGTTTCTTAATTATGAAGTGCCCTATTTTGAGTTCATTCTGCATTGCTAACCACAGTAAGACCAGCTTTATTCAAAAGCCACGTAGTGACACTGATGGAAACCAATGACTTTTCCCAAAGTTTTCAAAAGTAAATGGAAGTTTCCTGAAAAAGGGCTTAACACTGCTCTGCTTCATAGCTCTTTGCTTTATTATAATGCTCTTTAAAAGATGACACTGCAGTTCA